ACTTCCATTCTACAGATGATTATTCCAAATATTTCTTTCATTTACTCAATTTTTAAGGAAGCATGAACACGGCAACGATTCCTCATTCACTTCATGCAGAATGTGGGTATGATGGGGTATGCACCAAGACAACACAGAATGTTGAAAGGAGCTTTCAATGTGGTATGATCTTCATCTCCTTCAATCATCCCGACACTAGAAAGTGGCTTTAGGATTTAATAGACATTTTCAAATACTCAGTAGAATCCTTGGCACAGTGTAGGGGCTTGTAAATGTAACCTCCTTCTACCAAGAATACCCTCAATTCCAATACCAGTGCCACATTTCTGATGTGCACACAAGTAGAAAACACATCAAATACCATGAAGTAAGAAAAGGGCTCAAGATGAGACAGTAGGAAGAAAAAGATCCCAAATGTGTTTCAGTCTAGACTTTAGCACCTATTATTTCTTCAGTCTTAGAAGACTGCACTTACCTATGCCCATATGCCTGCCCTTCCGGCGGGCCAAGGTGTTTTTCCGGCATCGAGCTCGAGAATGGACAGTCACAGGCTTGCGGATGATCAGCCCGTCTTTGATCAGCTTCCGGATCTGCTGACCTGGGAAAGCACAATGCACCTGGTCAGTCAGTTGGGGCCCAGCCACACCCTAGAGTCCAAACACGACAAGCCACAGACATCGCTCACATTAGTGCTCTCAAAAATGACAAAACTACTGAAACCTCTGTTTATCTCTTGCCTTCTAAAAAACATTTCTACTTTTTATTTTGAGATGGGGGTCTTGCAATGTTGCCCAAGCTGGTCTCAAACTCCTAGGCTCAAGTGATCCCCCCACCTCAACAGCTAGGACTACAGGCATGGGCCACCACATCCAGCCATTTCTGCCTTTCAAATGTATTATAACACACTCCAAAGAATGAGCCTAATAATAATGACCCCTCCACTTTACAGGTCCTCTGAATTATGAGCTTTCCTAGGTTTGTAAAAAGTCAACACAATTGTGTTATTGTTCATCTGATGCAGGACAAGGGAAAGGACAGGGTGGAGAAGAGAAAGAAATCCCAAGTACTCACGGGAGTTGGCGTTGGCGATTTCATTAGTCTCGTTGGGGTCCAACCAGACTTTTTTTTTGCCACAGCGGAGGACACTAGAGGCAAGCCTCTTCTGAAGCCTGAGCATACTGGACACACAGAAAACACTATCAGACCATGGAAGCCACTGCTGGGCATCAATGAGCATTCCCACCAGGACCTGCTCTCTAAAGTCTTCTAATGTTGTGAGTCGTAACTTATGATAAAATGGATAAAGTATGTACATGCACTTACTATTACAGGCAAACACACCACCTTCCCCTCAAGATTTCTGCCACTCACATTACAGCTCCCAAATGAAAATTTTTCCTAAATCATAATCTTTGTTAAAGCCTTGCGTGGTGCGCAGCTGGCCATCCTGGGATTAGACTTGAAAGTCTAAGTTGTGCCTTAACTCTTTGAGCTTGTTTTCTCCTCCAGAAAATGAGGTTAAGGACTTAACTGAGATGAAGAGGGTTTATGCCATTTCTGGTATTCAGCTGCAAAAACAGTGTTTAAAGTATTCGAAGCCAGTGGATCCGATTTCTAGTCTAGGAATGCAAGCAAGTTCCTCTGTTTTTCGGGCTCATTTCCTCGTTTCAACACAGTAATAAACTAACTTCGGCCATTCTTAGAGATTTTTCTTACGAGTGACCAACGGAGTGGAAGGCGTCAGAGTTAAATAGAGATCGCCACACTCCCGGCAGGCAGAGGCCTGGGGCCTACGCTAGGCTTGTCCTACGTCACATGAAAGCAGAGGGCTGCTCGGCTCCGGGTGCGCCCAGCAATTAAAGGTGGCCACGGCTCAGTCCCCGCCGCTGCCTTTGCTCTACCCACGTTTGTCGTCCCCGACACTTGTGGGGCGCGGCGCCTACCAGGTCAGCCCTTTCCTCGTCTCGAGTTCCCGCGACGCTCCCCGCCCCGGGTCCTGTAGAGGCCGGGGCCTAGTGTGCTCCGGCCTACCGCAGGCTTCGCGACCGGCCGCTTTAGGGTGGCCCGCATTTCATCTCCCCCACCCGGGGCTGCGGTACGAAGTCCCACCGTCCCCCGCTAGTACAGATCAGCCCAGATTGGAGACGCGCGCAACCTCACCTCATGGCTCCGGGCGCACTAGCGAAAGGAAAGAACTCGCTCCGGCCCGGCTCCTCCCATTATCTGCGACGGGGAGAGCCCAAACCCCGCTGCACTTTCGTTCATATTCCTGTCCGGTTCTTTCATCTTCCGACACCCCAAACCCACTTATATCCTCCGTAAAGACCTGGTGTAATAGAGGCCTCATAGCTGGAATCGGTTTTAAACTTAAGAACATGGAAAATATACCCCTTTCGTCAGGCAAAGTGGTATAGTCCGACTTCCTAATAGACATGCGCAGCAAAGGCACTTGGTCACGTGGGTATTGGCTAGCCGGAAGTCACGGCGGATTGCGTAAGGCGGGGGGGTAGAGGGACTTTTTGCTGCACAGGCCTGCTGTTTGCCGGCGTCCAGAGTTTTGGGAGGGCGTATTATTGGTTGGGGGTAAGTTAGCGAAAGAAGCCAGAGAGAACAATGACGGCATGCTTCAGACAAAGGCAACCTCTTTTTCAGTCTTGTGGTAGATTGGGAGCCCCTGGAATACTGAATAGATCAAAAAACGGTAGTTTGGTATTTTTGCCCCCCTACTGGTCCTTAATCTCTTGTTGTCTCAGTTCCCGTCTCTGTAAAGTGTACCTAATCTTTTACAGAGATACACTAAATGCGCCTAATATTTTCTTCAGCCAATTGTGAAAATCTCATGAATTAACGTTTGCAGTTAGCAAAGGAAGGCATTAAGATGGCATGCTCAGCCAGGCTCAGTGGCTCATGCTTGTACTCCTAGCATTTTAGCAGCGGGAGGCAGGAGGATCACTTGAGGAGTTCTGAGACCAGCCTAGGCAACATAGCGAGACCCCCGTCTCTATAGAAAACTTAGCCAGACCTGTTAGCACGTGCCTGTAATCCTAGATACTGGGGAGGCTGAGGCAGGAGGATTGCTCGATCCCAGGAGTCTTAGGCTGCAGTGAGTTAAAATCTTGCCACTGCTCTCCAGCCTGGGCGACAGCGGGAGACTCTGTCGGTTTAAAAAAAAAAAAAAAAGCAAGCTCTTTAAGGGCAGGAACCAGTCTTCTGTTTGGCTCACAACTAACTGTGCTGCCCCCGGCATGGAGCCTCACACATAGTATACACCTGAGAAGTACTGCATTAGCTGAATGAATGATTGCAGAAAGTTAAAAAAAAAAAAAGTTGAATGGCAGGACCACCCATTCGACTCTTCCTAGTGATCTGGAGCACCCAGTGAAAAACCCAAGGAGAGCATTCTAGGATTCAAGAAGTTTAGATCTGAGTTCTGGCTCCAACTGTTGATTGGTTCCCGCTGATCACCCCATCTCTTTGATTTGAACTTCCCTGGCTGAGAAAGTCAAAGAAGGAGAAAGGGAAGCAACATTTATGCCATTTCCTCACAACACAATTAATGTCATCCTCATTTTACAGCTGAGGTAACAGATTGAGAATACAGATCGTCCTGATTGCAAAGCCCATGCTTTCCCTGTCATGTCAGACTCTCTTGTACCCAAGGGGCAGGTGGGAACCCTGCTCAGGGTTGGAATTCTTCATGGAACAATTCTAATGGGCTTCATCCTCACCCACTGCTCCTCCTTCCCCAAGGTGATGCAATCAGAGAAATGACCTGGGCTGCCATTCACTTATCAGAATCCAGGGTGAGGAGGAATCCCATAGTTTCCCAGCAGAATGCAGCAAGCTGGCCTTATTTTAGGGTCACTTGACCTGGGCAAGTCTTCTCCATTCTATTTCTCATCTGCCCTCTTTGTGGAGCAGGGGAAGGGGTAGAGTTGAGAGGGAATGAGTCCTCCTGTTGTGACTGACCACTGCAATTTACAGCTTCTCCAAACACACCAGCAATCCATCATTTAATTCTTCCTCATCCTTCCAATAATCCCAGGTGACAAAAGACAGCACAGTACCAGCAAACTCATTTTATAGGAGAGGAAATTGAGCATCAGAGAGGTGTAGTGATTTGTCCAGGGCCACACAACCAGAAAGAACCTGAGCCAAACTGGCACCAAGGTCTCTTGCCAGAATCCCATATTCCTCTTCTCTCCACCAATTCTGGTGGCGGGTAGAGTCCAGGCCTTGGATATTTGTCCCCAAATCAAGGATAAAGGTAGAGCAATTCTAGGTCAAAGGTCACGAGATCTGATTTTACGAATCTGTCCTCTCTCTGCTATTTTTTCCTCCTTTTTCCTTTGTCTTCCAAGGAATAGGGAACCTCACCCAGCTCCACTCCTGGCCTTTCAGAGGAGCCTGGGGGATCCTAGCGACTGATTAGGGCAGGACTCCTGGGTCTCTGGGATTCTTTTGCTATCTCTGTTGGGATCTCCCCTAGGACACCCTCCCCGTCCCAGCCTCAGCCTGCCATGTTGGAGGGGGAGGGGCCTTTCTGTTTGGTTCACGGCAGCCTGGACCCCACACTGGGAAGAAAGGAGTTAAAGCTGGGTTCCAGGATCACCGGGACCGGGAAGTTTCGGTGGCCCAAGCAGGAATGGGTTGGGGAGACCCGCTGGAAGAGCGGTTTGGTACGGAAAGGGGGGCGGTGCCAGCCGTGCCAATCCGCGCTTCACCCCCATCAGCGCTCGGCATCTCCTGGTGGACCGCCCCCCACTCCACCCCCGAGCCCCTTGGCCGATTTAGCCCAGCCGGGTCCCAGCAGGCCGCCTTCACCCTAGGCCAGTCAGAAGCCAACCATCGCCCCCCTCGAGAGCCGGGAGAGGCTTGCCTTGCCATGGCCACCCTCCCATTGTGTGTGCGGAGCCGGCGGAGGGGCTGCGAGGGGCGGGGCCGGGGCGGGTGGAGGGAGGGCGTGAAGGAGGGGCGGGGGGAGCGGAGGGGGCGGGGGGAGATGCTGAACCTTCCGCGGAGGCAGCGGCGGCGGCGGTGGCAGTGGCCAGAGCGGGAGGAGGGAGGGAAGCCAGGGAGCGGGCAGCCGAAGGCCGGGCTGTCTGGCCGGACCGGGTACTGGCTGCGCTGCGCCGCTCTCGGCTCCGACGGCCTCTCCCATGCGCTGAGGGCGCCCGGGCCGGCGGCCGGAGGGGAGGCTCCTCTCCATGGTCCAGAAGACCAGCATGTCCCGGGGCCCTTACCCACCCTCCCAGGAGATCCCCATGGAGGTCTTCGACCCCAGCCCACAGGTGAGGCGTGGTGGATGGGCCCGAGGGAACGGGGCCGAACGCAGAAACTGTTGGGGTCGGCTCGAGGGGCGCCGGGGAGGAAGGGGTTATATGTCCGGCGTGGAGGGGAGAGGGGTGCCTGCGCACCCCCCATCCTGGCGGGTTAATGATTGATGGGTGCTTGGCCCGGAGTTGGGCTGCGGTGCTGCTGAGCCGGGAGCGGGTGGGTGGGCCGCCTGTCACTCTCGCCTCGTAGTCTCCCCGGTGTCAGGGTCCCTGCTGCTGGGGTACTGGCTCCAGTGGGCTGAGGGTGGGGGTGCTGGTAAGGGGGATCGGGCCTTGAGAAAGGGAGGTTGAGGGAGGCTAGAAAGCGAGCCAGGCAAGAGGGGCGACGCAGAGCACGCTTGGGGGCGCCGGGCGGGTGTGGGTGGGGCGGGGGTGGCACTGGGAGATGGCCGAGGCGATGGTCAGAGGGCGGTGCCAACAGGCCTTCTAGGCTGCAGACGCTGGCTCTCGAGGGTGGGGAAAGGGCCAGCCCGGGGCCAGGCCCCCCTCCCAGCCCCCTCAGCTCCATCCCTATCTTGGACCAGCTCCCTTCCCCCCCACACCCACGTTGGCTTACCCCGCTCCCCCTCTCCCCTGCCCCTCTCCCCTGCCGCCTCAAAAAAACGCCTCCAAAGTTTGGAAAGTTGGATGGATGCCAACTCAGTGTCCGGAGGGGGAAAGCGGTTTTACCTTGGGGAGGGGGGTCTGCCTCCCCGCCCCCACTCACACACGTTTCCTATGTCCCTAGGTTACCCGGAAGAAAGGGCATTCTTGGGCTTGGCTTGGTGGGTTCCCATGGGGTGACCAGCAAGGTGTGGGGTGGTCGTGTCCAGGGGATTTCTGTGGGACTGTCCCTCTCCAAGGATAGCATTAACTCTTCTATTGCTGGGGTCAGCCTGGAACAACTGTAACCACCATGACAATGTGGTCCATGGGTGTGTAGAGTGTCAGGTCAGACCTAAAAATACCTCCTTTCTCCACCCCAGGCCCCTTGGAGCCTGGAGGCAGCTGACCGGGGCCTTCCTTTCAGCTGTCCCCTGTCCCTCTGAGCGTCACTCCCTTTGCCCAGCCTGGGGGAGGGTGGCAGTGTGAAAGAGTCTGAGGCTCAATGGGGGATCCTCTTAGGTTTATAGGGAGCCTCAAAACTAGAGTTTGGGTGTATGTCTACTTCGAGAGATGGGGAGGGGAGGGAGGGTCCTCGAAGGGTCCCTAGGTCTCTCCCATTGTCCACCCTCCTTAGGTCCCAAGAGCCAGAGCCCCCAGGCTGGTCATGGCTCACCTGGGTTCTTTGGCCAAAGAAAGTCTAGGATGGAGGCTGGGTGCAGTGATTGGAGGTCTGAACCCTCAATCACTCTCCCATTCTGGACCTGGCTGGGCCAAGTATGTGTTTGGCAGCTGGGGAGGATAAGAAGCAGCTCCTTTTTACAGGAGGCCTGGAAATACCTGAAGCTCTTAACCTGAATGTGTGGCTGCCTCAGCGGTCAGGCGGTATCCACTCCACCCAAGCGAAGAGCCAGCCTATCCCCCAGGGACCTGTGGGGCTGTGTCCTAGGCTGCGCGTGGGGTGGGGCCAAGGGCTTTTAGATTGACGTAGCCTGGTGGGTACCATGGGGACAGGCGTGGGCAGTGGCAGCTGGGGGTAGAGGGTGGAAGCATGATCCCTCTTGCCCCCTTAGGGAGGGGTGTGGCCACTGTGTTTGTGAGGAGGGGGGCTGAGAAAAAGTCCTGCCAGGGCAGGGGTGGGGGTGAGGAGCAAAATCAGACCCATGACGCGAGGCTAGGATTGGGGTTGGATGTTTGCTTTCCAAATCATTGCCCCCATTCCCTCCCCAGAAAGCTAGCTTTGGGGCTCCAAGAGCTCAGAGCTGCTACCCCTCCCTACTCTGAAAAGCCAAGGGAAGAGTTGGGTGCAGGGGAGAAGCCAAGCTGGGCCCTGGGTTTCCAATTCCTCCTCCCTGGGAGCCACGGGGCGGGCACACTCAGCCTCCTGCTCCAGCTGAGGGGGAGAGGGAGGCGGACTTTCCCCGCTCTCCGCCCCCCAGCACTGCAGGCAGCCTCTCCCTTCCTTGGAGGCCTCTGCAGCCTGCCCAGCATCTTAATTAGCTTTGCTGCTAACGAGCCTCCCGCTCTCAGCGCCTCCCCCTTCCCAGCCTCTCTGGCTTGGTTTGGGGGTTTCTGTGCGGGCCTCCCAGGGCTCTCTTACGCTGTTTCCCACTCCTGGCTGTGGTCTGGGCCCTCTCTGTGAAGATGGGAGACCCTCCCTCCCCTCGGGCTGTACCACCTCCAGAGGGAGATGCAGGGGTGTGGAGGTGGGGCTGTTCAGCTGAGGGAATGAATTCCCCAGGCTCTGGGGCTGGTGGATGAGGGTTGGGAAAAGTCCTTTCTGATTCCACTCTTGTTTCTTCCTGGCTTCACCAGGGCAAATACAGCAAGAGGAAAGGGCGGTTCAAACGGTCGGATGGGAGCACGTCCTCAGATACCACATCCAACAGCTTTGTCCGCCAGGTAAGGGGGAGGCTGGGCTGAGCAGAGGGAGGTGGCTGGTTGGTGGATGCCAATATCGGGAGCTGGGTCTGTGGCTTTCTCCAGGCACCCTTTCCCTTGTCATTTGTTACCTGCCTGGAACCACCCATCCCCCTGACACCCTGTGACCTCTCCTGGATGTACTGTCAGCTGCACCCACTCCCTCAGCCCCCGCCCGCACCCAGCCCCTCCCCCAGCACCAGGCACCAGCCCCTGCTGCCTGCCTGCGTCATCTCATTCAGGGACAGCCTGGCCTGCCTCCTAGCTTGCTTTGGGCTGTCACCCACTCCCCCTGCCGGCTGTCTGCTTCCATGTCCTCCCCCAGAATCTGTGACAGAGTGGGGTAGAGGCAGGTCCTAGGAAATGAAGAGCAACGACATTTGGGTCCCTGTGGCCCTTTTGAGGTGCTGCTCAGGGAGACACATTCCTCACATCTAGACGTGACTGTTTAATATGCAGAGAGAAAGTGTGATGGGGAGGCAATTGTGGCATGAGGTCCCCAATTTTAGAGAGGACTGTAGTACAGCACCCCTGACTGGAGGGGAGGGACTGAGAATAGCTTTCTGGGGTTCCCTGTGCTCAGGCAGGAAGCTGCCACTGTCACATCTCTCCTAACTCTCAACCCCAGGCCATTGTAGGCTCAGGGAGAGGTGATGAGAGAGGCATGTGGTTGCTATGACTACTGAGCATCTCAACAAAGCCTGGTACCCAAAAAAGGCAAGAGGGGCCTGGGATCAGACAAGGGAGAGGAGTACATTGACGAGGAAATGGGCCAGGCATCCAAGGGCAGAGGACAGCAGGGAGGAGGGGCCCCTGGGGGTGATCCCTCTACCCCCTTGGGGCAGGAGAGAGGGTAATGCCAGGCAGATCCACCACAGATTGGGGTAAGGCCCTTCTTTTGATTCTTCTGTCTCTACAATGCTTGGCACATGTGAGCCCAGGCCTGACTTGGGAGGTTCCTTCATTCCACCCTTTCCTAAGTATACGAACAGACAGGACGAACAGTCCTTTCTTCAATCACTCCCTTATCCCGCCTGTTGCAGGACTGGGCCAGGGCTGGGAAGAATGGCGCCATGCTTTTGTTGCCCATCTTGGCAGAAAAGTGTCTTGGTTCCTTCAATGTTTGCCAACCCAGGGGGTCAGACCCCAGCCTCCAATTCTTTCTCCTCTTAGCTCCCCAGCTCTGACCCCCAGGAGGTGGCGGGGAGTGGGGGGGCAGTCCTTGCCACATCTCTGAGCTAAATATACCCTAGCAGTTTGCACATGTAGCAACTCTGCTTGTAACCTGAGCACCCTGGGGGAACTCGGTTTGGGCCACCCCCTAGGCCAGCAGGGCCAGGCACTGAGGGCGCCGGGATGGAGGTGCCCAGCCCCAGCCGGACCCTGGTGGTGGTGAGCTGGGGATGGAGCGGGGGTGGCAGTGGGTAGAGCAGCCCCTCGGGAAATCTGGTGGACGGGGGCCTTCACTCCAGCTGTCTCCTTGCCTCCTCACTGTTTCTTGTCTCCTGCCATTTCTGATGCGTGTGTCTGTCTGTCTGTCTGTGAGTGTGCTGTGGTCTGTGAGTGCCTCTCTGCCAGTCTATCTCTGTGTCTGTTTCTCTGGCTCTCAGGGTGTCTGACTCTCTGGCTCCAAGTGCTCCCATCAGGAGGGTGGAAGGTGGGAGCTAAACTGTTTTCGCTCTCCCGTCTCTATGTCTCTTTTCCACCGTCTATTAGTCCCCCTCAACCCCCTACTTCCCCCACGAGCCTCCCATTTTCATGGTTTGGCTCGGAAAGGGATGGGCAACTGCACCAACTAATGCCCGGGGGCCTCTGCGGAGAGCTGGGACTTGGTCTTTCCTCTTTCCCAGGTCCTCTTCATGCCAAGCTAATGGACATTCCTGGCCAAGTGACCCTTTTCTGCCCTCGGGGAAGACCCCCCACATCTCTGTAGTCCTGCTCTTCCCCAATTTACCTCCCACCACTCGTCCAACACCACCCTGCACAGTCACACCCAAGTCTACACCTCCTGGCTCCTGCCCTCACGTGCCTCCCACCGTCAGGGACACAGACACCGGGGGCGCCCCCCTGGATGCGCTTGCATAGCTGTGCAGAGTCACAGCCAGCACATACCATGGAGCACACCCACGCTTGCAGTTGCACATCCAAGCACACATGTGAATAAGCTTGTGCATTTCCACTGTCAAGTCTGTCCAGGCTACGTTGTCTTACACATGTGTGTGCATCCCTAAGGAGTTCTTTGTGCTCTGGGTTGGTCAGTGTGGTCAAAGCCAGCTTCCTGCCACATCCGGACATCTGAGTCTGCCTTAACCATGGCACCTGGAAGCTCTACGTATTGGGGAAATGCCTGCCCCATATTCTGCTCTTAACTTACCTCTTGGCAACACTGTGAGTCTTGGGTTCTCTTGGATCTTACGAGAGCCTGAGGGTTGCGGCTGTGCATGGGGAGGTCTGATTCTGCCAGTCTATTTCCCTCCACCCTGAAGCAGAAGATAGCAAAATCCGTGGTGGTCCCATCATGCCACTGCCGAGCAGGCTGCCCACCGCCAATTGTGCAGAAAGCTCAGGCCCAAGCTGGTGGCCTCGGTCCCTGGAAGGACTGCCATTGGATCTCTATTGAGTCTATCTCAGTGGGTGCTGGGGGCAGGGGAGGGAAGGAGGAGCGGGAGTGTCCCCTGGCACTCCTCCCTTGTGTGTGCCCCTATCAGGTTCCCACCCCTCCCTGGGCCCCAAGCAGCTGTCCTTGGACCTGCCTTAACCTCCTGCTTGCTGCTGTCACCCTCTCTAGGTCCATACTTTTCCCAGGGGCCTGCAAACCTCAGCTCCTGGCCCCTTCCACCTAATACCACCTTTTCTTAGCCCCTGGGGCCTCGTGCGGGGCTGGCGGGGGCTTGAGGCATCCATGATGGGTGGCACCTATGTGGATTCCCAGGCCCAGGAGCTGGGGGAGGTAGCCCTGGCCCTGAGCTGACCCTCTCTGTTTTCAGGGCTCAGCGGAGTCCTACACCAGCCGTCCTTCGGACTCTGATGTGTCTTTGGAGGAGGACCGGGAAGCCTTAAGGAAGGAGGCAGAGCGCCAGGCGTTAGCTCAGCTTGAGAAAGCCAAGGTGAAAAAGATGTGGGGAGGGGCTGTGCTGGCATTGTTTCCCCCACCTCCAGGCCTTAGAGAGAGGCTGGAAAGAGCCAGGGTCAAGTCTTGGCCCAGCTGCTTCCTAGCTGTGCACTGGCCCTCTCTGTGCCTTTGTCCTTCACCTGCAAGGTGTGGGCTACGATACCTGCCTCCTTATACAGTGTGATCGGTGCCTGCTACTGTTTCCACCATAATAAGGGCTTGATAAGTGCTAAAAATTTCCACTCCTTTCCAGAATCAAACTTCCTGGAATCTCAGCCCTGGCTCTTAGTAGCTGTGTGATCTTAGGCAAGTCACAGCTTTTCTGAAACTTGTCTCATTCATTAAAATGAAGATAATAATCCCACTTAACTTCATAGGATTTTTGTGATGCATAAGTCAAATAATACGAATGAAGCATTTAACATAGTACCTGGCACAGTAAAGGGTAACTAGTGTCATTATTATTATTATTCCTTCTGGGTTTCATTCTTTGTACCCTCAACCCCCATCACCATCACCTGTCATTCCACAGTGTCCCCCCAAACTGAGAGGGCTGACTTCTATTTTTTGCTTTCTTTTTTTTTTTCATTGTAAAAGTTAATGTACATACAGAAAACCACACAAACCATTAATATGCATTTTTAAAAAATATTTATTTATTTATTTATTCTTTTAGAGAGAGGGTCTCACTCTGTCACCCAGGCCGGAGTGCAGTGGCACAATCATAGTTCACTGCAGCCTTGAACTCCCGGGCTCAAGTGATCCTCTGGCCTCAGCCTTCTGAGTAGCTGGGACTACAGGCGAGCACCACCCACCACGACTGGCTAATTTTTTTTATGTTTTATTTTTGTAGAGATGGGATCTCTTTATGTTGCCCAGGCTGGTCTCGAACTCCTGGGCTCAAGTGATTCTCCCGCTTCAGCCTCCCAAAGTGCTGGGATTACAGGCGTGAGCCACCGCACCCGGCTTCAGTATACATTTTAATGAACAATTTACAAAGCAAATATCTGCATGATCACCACCGTCAGGAAGTTGTACATTACACTGCAGTTTGACCTTCTGGTTGTCATCCTCTCCTGTGTGCCTCCTCTAGACCAAGCCAGTGGCATTTGCCGTGAGGACAAATGTCGGCTACAATCCATCTCCAGGGGATGAGGTGCCTGTGCAGGGAGTGGCCATTACCTTTGAGCCCAAGGACTTCTTGCATATCAAGGAGGTGGGGAGAATGCTTGGTGCCTGGAGGGAGGGCAGGGGAGTGGGTGGCAGGAGAGGGCCAGCCACAGCTCTAGTGGGAAAAAAGTCTTCTGAGCCAAGCAGAGCTGGGCTGAATCTGCTGTGTGGCCCTAGACAAATCTCTGCACCCTTCTGAGCTACTTTTTCACTGGTAAAATGGGGTGGTAATGCCTGGGTCACAGGGTTGTTGGGAGGGTCTGTGAGGAGGCCTGAATGGAGTGGCAACGTGCCAGGGACATGTTGGTGTCGGCGTTTCCTCCTACAGCCTTTCTAGATCAGGGTGGGCACATGGAGGGGGACTCTGAGAATGGGGATGTCCTGGGGGAGGGGTGGTCCATGGCCAGGGAGGATGCTGATCCTATAGTTGCCCTGGGAACTGAGAGCTCTCCACGGAGGCTGGAGCCGGGGGATGGGGATCTTCGAGGGTGCCACCCCCAGGCAGGGAACCCAAGTTCTGGAGGGTGACTGCTGCTTGCACCTCCAGCTTCCCTCTTGCTATCTCCACCCCACCTGCCGTGTTGTTCACAGAAATACAATAATGACTGGTGGATCGGGCGGCTGGTGAAGGAGGGCTGTGAGGTTGGCTTCATCCCCAGCCCCGTCAAACTGGACAGCCTGCGCCTGCTGCAGGAACAGAAGCTGCGCCAGAACCGCCTCAGCTCCAGGTGTCTGGCTGGGGGTGGGCACTCCCAACCCCAGGAGAGGCCATCCAGCCGGGACGAGGCCTCAGGGGTTGACCTCTGGCCCTGAGGGCACAGAGCTGCCCGTGGCTTCACCAGCGGGGCTGGAGAACCTCGAGGGGGTGCGGCATGTGAGAGGACAAGACTCCCCCACCCCCACGCCTACCTCTTTGCTCACAAGCTCCATTTGCCTCTCTGCTCACACAGCAAATCAGGTGACAACTCCAGTTCCAGTCTGGGAGACGTGGTGACTGGCACGCGCCGCCCCACGCCCCCTGCCAGTGGTAAGAGCTGCTGCCACCCAGGGGCTTGGGGGGCAGCTCCTGGGTGGGGTGGTCTCCCCACTGCCCGGCTCCTCCTTCCCCTGCAGTAGGAGGCACCCCAATCCTGAGTCCCCCACACACGTGCGGTGGTGCCCTGTCCGTGAAGAGTAGGATACCCCCAGGCTGGGCCTGTCACGTCTCTCCTCTGCCCTTGCTTTGGCAGCTCCATCTCTCTGCCTGGTTCCCCTGCCCCCCTTCATTTCTCCCAGCCCTGTTCCATTCACCTCTTCTTCTTTCTTTTCTCCCCACCCCCACCCCTGCGTTCTGTACTGTGTCTCCACGTCCATCTCACTCCTCCCCACCTCGCCTCCCTCCTCCCTCTCTCCTGACTCTCCGGTCCAGGTAACGAAATGACTAACTTAGCCTTTGAACTAGACCCCCTAGAGTTAGAGGAGGAGGAGGCAGAGCTTGCTGAGCAGAGTGGCTCTGCCAAGACTAGTGTTAGCAGTGTCACCACCCCGCCACCCCACGGCAAACGCATCCCCTTCTTTAAGAAGGTAATTCTTGCTGGGTTCTGGCAAGAGGCGGGGGAGTCAGGGCCCAGCTCTCTGGTGGTGGGGAGGGGCTGGAATGGATTCACGTGGGGTACAAGCCTATTCTGTGGGCGTCGGGGCTTCCTGCAGAGGTGGAGGGAAGGGTGGTGCGGGCATAGTCATCTCCAAGCACAGCCTCACCCTGGCCTGCTCCCCAGGAAGGGCTGGTTCTTGCCCTTGGAGGGCTGCCCACCTGAGGAGGCAGGGTCTGGTGCTGACAACACCTGACCTTTCCCCTCACTGCCAGTGGACTGTCCAGTGTCTGCCCCACCCCGGCATGTGAAGTGGGGAGCAGAATGGCATTCCTTCTTTGCCCTCTTTCGACTCCATGGGTGGGCACTTGCAGGGGTGGGGGGGTCGTCTACTGGCTGCAGAGCAACACAGTCAACGGAACCCTTAAAATGGGCAGGTTGGCATGCACTGGGGCAGGAGGTGGGTGCCAAGTGAGGGGCTGTTGTCCTCTCCGGCTCTTTTCCAAGACCTAGAAGGGGGAGAGGATGTGTCTGCATATTCCCAAGTTCGCTGGACTGACTGTCAGTCCTGCTCCCAGCCCTCATCCAGGGCCATCTCTGGCTCGCCCTTGGCATGGGGTCCCGTCCCCTCTCTCTGGCTCTGTCTGTCACTAACACGCATGCCCTGTTATCTCTCCTGGTCTGCCCGCTCTCCCTCCCTCTCTTGTCCTGGCTCCTTCCTTGCCCTCTGCCCCTGCCTGGGTCCCCTTCCCTCCCTCCTCCCCACCCCCTCTCTTGGCATTCTCTGGACCCAGCCAAACAGAAGCAGAAGTCGGTGAGTATCACAGCTTTCTGTGTCCCCTTCCCACTCCCTGGGATGAGCTAGGGGGACCTTCTAACACCCATTCCCATATTTGTCCCATTTTCTCCTCCCTCCCTGGCTCTCCCTGGCCATCCCTCCCCACCCCCACCGTGATCCCCACCTCTGGGCTCTGGGACCAGGGGGAGGAATGGATGCATGGGGGAGCCTGAGTCTGGGGGAGAGGGGCTGATACCATCTCCACTCTGGGGTTCCCCTCCCTGCTTCCCCCAGGCAGAGCATGTGCCCCCCTATGACGTGGTGCCTTCCATGAGGCCCATCATCCTGGTGGGACCATCGCTCAAGGGCTATGAGGTAGGAGCCCCTAAAGGGGAGTGCACCCAGAGGGGCCCAGCCCTTCAGAGAGATTCCATAGAAAGGTCTTCAGACCCCAGAGAGACCCCCCAGAGGACCCAGATCCCCAGAGGGCTACCGACCTTCAGAGAAAACTCCCAGAGGAGCCCAACTCACAGGGAGACCCACTCGGAAGGACCCAGACCCCAGAGAACCCCCCCTAGAAGAGCCCTCCCAGAGATACCACCTGGAAGAACCTTTGGAATCAGAGACTGCATTGAAGGCCCCTCAGACCCAGAAGGACCCCTCCACCCCCATAGAGGCCCATTCATCTCGGGAATTTCAGAAGAAAATGGTCCATGAGGGTGCGAATACCCAGCAGCCCAATCTCCTGAGTGGCTTTAAATGCCTGACTTCTCCTCCCTCCCTCCCTCAACCCCCAAACCCAGGTTACAGACATGATGCAGAAAGCTTTATTTGATTTCTTGAAGCATCGGTTTGATGGCAGGTAAGACCCTGGGAACTGCTTCCCACTCCCGCCACAGCTGTCTGCTGCTGGGGGCCTGGGCAGGACACCTTGAATGACAGTCCTGGGATTCTTGACTGAGGGACAGGAGGCAGCCTGGAGTGGGGCAGTGGGCAGGGCATTCTAGCTCACCCCAGCCCTGGACTGCCTCCCCACCCTGTCCCCCAGGATCTCCATCACCCGTGTGACAGCGGACATTTCCCTGGCTAAGCGCTCAGTCCTCAACAACCCCAGCAAGCACATCATCATCGAGCGCTCCAACACACGCTCCAGCCTGGGTGAGCCCATCCCTGCCTTCTTCCCCCGACCTTGGGAGGGGTGGGAGATGTGGGAAGGGTGGGAGGTGGTGAGTAGGTCCATCTCCAGAAGTGTTCCCTCCGCACGCTGCCTCCTGCGGGGCCACCTTACATTCCCTCCTCCCCATGACTCCATGCCCCAGCTGAGGTGCAGAGTGAGATCGAGAGAATCTTCGAGCTGGCCCGGACCCTTCAGTTGGTTGCTCTGGATGCCGACACCATCAACCACCCAGCTCAGCTGTCCAAGACCTCGCTGGCCCCCATCATTGTTTACATCAAGATCACCTCTCCCAAGGTGGGTGCTGGAGCCTGACCCTGGCAGGGACGGCAGGGACGGCATGGTTTAAGAAGAGTGCTCTGGAGTTGGGCTACTTGAGTTTAAATCCCAGCTCTGCTGCTTACTAAACGTGTGACTTAACCTCCTCGAGCCTTAGTTTCCTTTTCTGAAAACTCCATCATATTGTGAAGATTCAACCTAATATGAATGTACAGCACTTAGCAGAGGGTTTGGTACAACATATTAAGTGTTATTAATATTATAATTAGGGGCCAGGTGAGGTGGGTCAAGCCTGTAATCCTAGCACTCTGGGAGGCTGAGGCAGGAGAATCACTTGAGCTCAGGAGTTCAAGAGCAGCCCGAGCAAGAGCAAGACCCCATCTTTACTAAAAATAGAAAATTAGCTGGGCATTGTGGTGTGCACTTGTAGTCCCAACTACTTAGAAGGCTGAGGCAGGAGGATCGCTTGAGTCCAGGAGTTAGAGGTTGCTGTGAGCCGTGATGATGCCATTGCACTCTAGCCTGGGTGAAAGAGTGAGACTCTTTCTCAAAAATAATGAAAAAAATTATACTTAGGGTCCTGCAGACCAGTCCCCTGTCTCCACCCTGGTTGACCTCCCATCCTTAGACCAGAAAACTGAAAGAATTCTATGCTTTCTGTCCCAGCGCCACCCAGCTGCTTGGCAGTTGGGAGGTCAGCCTTTTTGCTGCACTGTCCTCATTTGGATTTTGATAAGGACGAAATCGGTGGGAAGGCTGATTTACTTCTTTGTCATATTGCAGCTCATTAACTTTCCCTTCTAGGTGTTAGCGGAGATTTGAGAAACACAGAGGAAGAGATTAGGTGAAAGATTTGAAGTTAGAAGACAGCACAGGGTTCAAATCCTAGCTCTGATTGGTTTATATAGTTATCATTGTTATTGTATTTTTTTTTATTGAGCTTTGAATTGTGAAGGAATTATTTAGCCCCTGATCCTCAGTTTCTTCACCTCTAAAATGGAGTTACTGTCCTTCTCTTGTGTTATTGTTGGGAGAATTGATGTAAGGGGCCTAGTATACAGTCTGATTCCTGATGGCAGCCAGCAGTGGTAACTGTTACATCCCACGGTGGCATCCCATGAGCTGAGCCAGTTACTTAACTTTTCTGAGTCCTAAATTTCTAATGAGATAAAGGAGATGATGGGATTTAAGTACTTTCTGGGTGTGGTTGAAAGGATCAAATAAGATAATGGATGCAAAAACACTTTGTGAACTAGAAGGTAACCAATGCTTCCATTCCCCCCACTGAGGTTAAGGGCAGGGGACTCTGGAGCCATACTGCCTGGGTCTATACCCTAGGGCTGTCATTACCAGCTCTGTGTTCCTTTGGCAAGTCACCTAACATCTCTATGCCTTAGTTTCATAGGCCATGCTCTAGTGGTTGTTGTGATGGTTAAATAAATGAATTAACCATGCAAAATGCCTGGTACCTACAAGCATTATATCTGCTCTATTTTGTAAAAAGATTTTTATTTCCAGATAATTTCAAATTTATAGAAGTGTAGCAAGAATACCTTTCAGCTTCCTGAGTAGCTGGGACTACAGGCATGCGCCACCATGTCTGGCTAATTTCTTTCCATTTTTAGTAGAGACAGGGTCTCGCTCTTGCTCAGGCTAGTTTCAAGCTCCTGAGCTCAAGAGATCTTCCCACCTCGGCCTACCAGAGTGCTAGGATTACAGGCGTGAGCCACCGCACCTGGCCCCAGATTCACTAATTTTTTAATAGCTTTATTGAATAGAGTTCACATCCCATTTAATTCAGCCACTTAAAACATATAGTCTAATTTTTTTCAGATTCACTAATTTTGAAAATTTTTACTTTTACTTTATTTTTTTTAAGACTAGTCAAATGCAATCCTTGTCTGTCTGTGTGTGTGTATTTTCCTGAACCATTTGAGAGTAAGTTGTAGATATTGTATATCTTTAAACAAGGACATTATCTTACATAACCATAGTGCAATTATAAAACTCAAGAAATGTTATCTAAAATACAGTCCATATTCAGTTTCTACCAGTCGTCCCAATAGAGCCCTTTATGAATCAAGGAATCGACCCAGGATCACGTTGCATTTAGTTGTTATATCTCTTTAGTCTTCTTTACTCTGGAACAGTTCTTCAGCCTTTCTTGGATTTTCATGACGCTGACATTTGGAAGCATACAGGTCAGCTGTTTTGTAGACTGTCGCTCGGTTTGGGTTTGTCTGATTTTTCCTTATGATTAGATTTAGGTTTTGCATTTTATTATGATTACTGAGATGAGAATAACAGTAGTGGCTACCTAATGGGGTTATGGTCAAGACTAAACTGATCATGTGAAAAGCACAGAGCAATGCTGGTTCATAGCAAGCACCCCATAAAGGAAGACTGTTGTTGCTGTTATTAACATGGTGGGGAGGCCTGGGGAATGAAGCCTTTAAACAAGGTCAGAGGAGTTGGGAAGGAGAATTACTACCCTTCATGGAGCCCCTAGGAGAGGCTGGTGTGAGACCTAGGAGAGAGCTGGAGCATAGTATAGGGTAGACACAGGGCTTGTGAGATCATTTCTGCAGAGGTGCTCAGGGCTGGGAGTCACTGAGCATTTTCCCTAGCCCTGACACTGGCTCTTCACACAGATCCAACCAGGACTTGCCTTTCTGATGGGTGCATTGGCTGGGTCCTCTAGCTCCTCTTCCTTTTCTCCTCCCCAAACCAGGTACTTCAGAGGCTCATCAAGTCCCGAGGGAAGTCTCAGTCCAAACACCTCAATGTCCAAATAGCAGCCTCGGAGAAGCTGGCTCAGTGTCCTCCTGTGAGTGCCTAGACCCAGGGGAAGGGAAGGGAGGAAGGACATTTGGGTTGTCCTGGTTTCCTCTGGCCTGCATGGGACACACACAGAGTGACCAGGAACACCTGGGCCAGGTCCATAGGTGCAGACTGATCTTCAGGGGAAGAGCGCAGGACAGGCAGAGACTGGGTTCAAGCCCCAGAAGCACTCTTTCTCGGTGGAGAATCAAGCCCCCCTCTCCCAGCCTTGGTCGCCTTATCTGTAGCATGAGGGAGTTGGATTATTTGAGTGCCAAGACCTCTTGCAGCTCTGTCAATCTGTAGATCTGAGAGCCCTCCTTCCCTTCCTCCACGTCGAGAGGCCTGTTTTTAACCTTGTCCTTCAACCCCTTGACTCCACCCACTGCACCCAGGCCACACCCTCAACCCCTTTGGTCACGCCCCCACTCATCCCAGCCCCGCCCCTAACCCCACCTCCACAGGAAATGTTCGACATTATCCTGGACGAGAACCAATTGGAGGATGCGTGCGAGCACCTGGCTGAGTACTTGGAAGCCTATTGGAAGGCCACACACCCGCCCAGCAGCACGCCGCCCAATCCACTGCTGAACCGCACGATGGCTACCGCAGCCTTGGCTGCCAGCCCTGCCCCTGTCTCCAACCTCCAGGTACAGGTGCTCACTTCGCTCAGGAGAAACCTCAGCTTCTGGGGCGGGCTGGACGCCTCGCAGCGGGGCGGCAGCACGGTGCCCCAGCAGCAGGAGCACGCCATGTAGCGGGTGCCCGCCCGTCTTCCCTCCCGCCCAGGGTTCAGAACTGGTGTGCAGGGAACATGGGGAAGGAAGGGAAGAGCTTTATTTTGTAAAAAATGTGGTGAGAGGCAGCTTCTGGTGTCTGTGGTTTTTGATGGGACGGGGGTTGGCTGGTGCTGCCTCCCTGGACCTGGTTCCATAGGATTAATCTGCTGCCTGCTAGATATGAGAGCCCATTGGGGCCCTTGTAAAACAAGGGACTAGGAAGGAACTATGAGGAAGACTGATATAATCATTGGCTGGACTGCACACCCTTTATAGACCCAACAGAGCAGGAGCCCTCAAACCCAAGGAAACCCACAGAGCAGGAGCCATTAAGCCCAGAGTGACTGCTTCTCCCTCGGAGCCCTAACCCCGGGACAGACCCAGAATGCAGCATCGTTTATGAGTTGGTGCTGTATGTTTCACCCTTCTCCCAGTTGAAGAGAGTTCAGGAAAGGCCCTCTCATGGGTACCCCATCCTGCCTCACCCTCCTCCCATAGGTGCCACAGCCCATCTCTGAGACCACACCACTTAAGTTTATGGTTCTAGGTTAGAGCCAGAAGAAACCCATGAAATCATTCTAGACTGATGCTTTTCACATTTGTTTTCAGCAACAGAGCCCACTTATTAACTGAATCTGACGTGGTTGCTGAGTATACAGATAAGGCATCCTTGCTCTGCTCCAAGGGAGCTAGGGGCTTGGCCTCCACTTAACCTCCACAGGGACCCCTGAAGCACTTCTGTGCCCTCCCTATCCTGCCCTAGGAACAGGGAACAGCTTGGAAACTGCTGCTGTAGTCTAGTCCCTATCACACTACAACCACGAAACCGGGCCACAAAGAGGGGAATCATTTGCTCAGGGTCACACTGCTTGAAGTGGCAGGGGTGGGACAAGAACCCAGGCCTCTCCTTGTACCCCACTTGGCAACCTCCATGGTGGCAGTGGCCAACAGCTCACCTCCAAGTGGCATTTGGCGTTGAGGACATTGGGCTACTTCATTATCTCCAGTGGGGGAGGAGGACCCATCAACCAGCCTGCTGCTTTGAGTCTTTGTTGGGGGCAGAGGAGGGATCCTATCAATCTTGGGGTGCTGGAAACCTATGACTGGGATCTGGTGTGGGCTGAAGAAGCCAGGGTCAGTGAGTTTGAGCTGAAATCCCCTCTTAATATATTTGGAAAACTGGAGACAGTGACTAACCCAATCAACCACTAACGAGTGGCGGTACTAATGAGCTGTTAATGTTGATTAACCCCAAGCTAGCATTAATGACATGCACTGAGGAAGTGGTGACTAATTGTCCATGGCTCTCTGCCATGGTTACCATGAGAGTTTGTGGTCCTCACATCTTAAGAAGGTTGGGCAGATGCCTTGAGGTCTGTCCTCTGACTGCGCTCCAGAGCCTTTTCCCCAGGGTCCCATCCCCTAGAGTCAGCATCCTCCTCCTTCAGCCCGGCTAGGTGTCCTGGTGCCGTCACTAACTTTGCCTTGCTTTGTTGTGTTTTTCTTACCCCTGCCTCATCTGCATGGTGTGTGCTGTCCATCTGCTAACCAGGGACCCTACCTTGCTTCCGGGGACCAGCCGCTGGAACGGGCCACCGGGGAGCATGCCAGCGTGCACGAGTACCCGGGGGAACTGGGCCAGCCCCCAGGCCTTTACCCCAGCAGCCACCCACCAGGCCGGGCAGGCACCCTGCGGGCACTGTCCCGCCAAGACACGTTTGATGCCGACACCCCCGGCAGCCGAAACTCTGCCTACACGGAGCTGGGAGACTCGTGTGTGGACATGGAGACTGACCCCTCAGAGGGGCCAGGGCTTGGAGACCCTGCAGGGGGCAGCACCCCACCAGCCCGGCAAGGCTCCTGGGAGGATGAGGAAGAAGACTATGAGGAAGAGCTGACCGACAACCGGAACCGGGGCCAGAATAAGGCCCACTACTGCGCGGAGGGTGGGGCTCCAGTTCTGGGGCGCAACAAGAATGAGCTGGAGGGCTGGGGGCGAGGTGTCTACATCCGCTGAGAGGCAGGGGCTCCTCCATGGGAGGAAGGGTTCTGGGCCCGGGGGAGGGGAGGGACAGAGGGGCTCAGCACCTGAGATGTATCTTGCCTCCAGGGGGCTTCTTCTCTCCCTCCTTTCAGATGCCTTGCTCAATGTTTGGGGTTTCTTTGGTGGTATCATCCCAGCTCCTGGGAGGCCCTTAAGCCTCAGCTATAGGTTTTTACCTACCTGCTGTGGATGGATGGGGGGATATCCACCTTGCTAAAATGTCCCCTTTTCCCCATATTAGGGGGCTCTCCGCCCTCACCCTCCCAGAGAAAAGGTGCACTTCCTTAATTCTTTCTACTCGGGGCTCTAGGTGAAGGTCCTAAATGGAGTGGCCCTTCTTTTCCCAACCTGAAGAGGAGGCCACAGAATCTTTCCCATGGGGGCCTTCTGCCCCAAACCCCAGACCCAGGGTCCCTCACCATGCCCACCCCTCCCCCAGCTTCCTGGCAGCATTGTCTGGTAGGTGAAAGCCACAGTATGGAAACTCCACGGGGAGCTTGTCTTGGGAGGGGTCTGGGTGGGAACTGGCAGGCATCAGATATAGCACCCTCTGCCCTCCGTGGCCATGGCAATGCCAGGGCCTAGAACCCCGAGGAGTGGGCTACCTGAGATGCTGCTACCCACCCCACCACCTCCATTCCTTGGCCTTTGCCTACCCCAGGAATGAGCTTTGCCTACGACATCCCTTGCCTGCTGCCATCAGAAGAGGGGGCCCTTCTGCATCTGAGCCCCCCAACCCTATCCCGTGCCAACTGGGTGTGGAGCCCATGGAGCACTGGTCCGCCTCATTTTAAACCAAAAAATTGCTCCTTCACCCTCACCCTGAGGCCCCAGGGGAGAAGCCCTGTGGCTTGGTGCCCAGGAAGCGTTGTCTGGTAGGTGAAAGCTACAGTTTGGAAACTCCATGGGTGTGGAGCCCATGGAACACTCTGGTTGCCTCGGGACCTCGGATCTCCCCTGTGGGGCTTGGCTGCTGCTGCCGCTGCTCTATCTCTGCCTCGTGATTCTGTTCTTTACCCACGTCCACTGCCCCTGGGAGAGGCCTCAGTACCCCCTCTCCCTGGGGTATCCCTCTCCCTCCGCATCCCTATAGCCCAGCAGCCCTGCCCCTCCCCAGCATCCTAGCTGGGCCAGAGAGAGCCGATTGTGCCAACAAGGACTGGGCCCTGCCCGGCTGCCCACCTCAGGGATGGGCACTTCATGCCTGTCTCGCCACCTCCTGTGCCAATGTTGCCCCACCCCCCACCTGGGGGTGGGGTGCAGCTTCCACTTACCGATTAGAAAACACCACTGCCCAACCTTTCCCCCTCCCTGTCTAGAGTCCTGTGCCCTCATCTGTCTGTCGGTCTGTCTGTACTCCCCTAGGAGAAGTATTTTGCCATATATAAACCGCCGTCCTGTCCTTTGCCGCCGCCTCCCAAGCCTGCTTCTTTGTTCCCAACACACAGTTGTCAGCCTAGGCACGTGGGAGCTGCCGACATGCAGGGGGATTGAAGGCGTGGGTGCAGCAATAAGCTGCGCCCTGGGTTGTTGACTCCAAAGAAGAGACGGTTCTTTCATTTGCAGCTCTCGTGTGCATCATCTCCAAACCAGGAGCTGCTTGGCCAGTCGGCTCCCCACTCGGCCCTGAGCCCCCCACCTACAAGTAGCCAGGGGAATGGGAAGCTGGGTGTCATTCGGTGGGTGGGATCCAGAATCGCTGGTGCGATGGCTGAAGGGGACATGCTTTTCTGCTCCTGTGGCCTCGCTGCGCCCCGACATCCCGGGAGAGGGAGGGGCGGAGCTTCCGGCTCCATTAATGCTCCTCCCCCACTGCACTGCTAACCAGTTTTGGGGGTGGGGAGGTGGTCTACTTGTGGGGGGCTGGGCAGAAAAAGAGAAAATCGGGGACTTCACCAGTCCCAGCCTGAGTAGTGAGAGGAAGAAAGTCAGCAGTGGCTGTGCCCTTTCCTGCCATCCCCACCTGGCAGGATGTAGACTTCTGACAGTTGTTACTGCAGCCACCTGTGACCTGCCTCAGCACCCACAGTCATTTCCCCACCCTCCTGGTTCTTGTTTCTGGGCTGGTGGCCCTGGAGGACTAAGAGTCCCTGGGTCCTCCACCTGAATGCTCAGGCCCAATGTGGGCACGAGTGTGAGTGTGTGTGTCTGTGTGTAGGAAGCGACAGACATCCCCTGAGACCCTCCAGATGAGGAGCTAGCAGATCAAAGAGGAACTGGGCAGTCCCAGAGGTCAAGTGGCTGACCCAAGTTCCCTGGGGAGTTGATGGCAAAGTTGATGAGAGCCCGATGTGCCTCCCAGCACAGTGCTCTTCCCACTACCTTTCCACAGAATCATCGTTACTGTGTTCATTCATTGAGCAAACATTTGTTGAGCACCTCCTATGTACTAGGCACAAGTGTAAGTGGGAGTCACAGGCAATTTCAGAACAGCACATGGGCTCTCTGATGTAGGAAGCACTGGGTATTGTGGGAACCTGGAAGAGGGGTCATTCCTTAACCTGGGGAGGTCGGGAGAGGCTTCCTGGAGGAGGTGTCTTGAGAAGAGTGTAGAAACATGGGTAAGGGTTAACCTGGGCAGATAAGTGTTCAAGGCAGAGGAAGCAGAGGACGTGCATGTATGTTCTTGGCACCTCACTAGCAAAGTGTGCTCTCAAGGTGGTGGCCAGAGAGGGGTTGGCAGAAGCGGGTCACAGCAGGCCTTGAGGCATGATAAGGAGTCTGGGCTTTGTCCTAGGCTAGTGTGCAGAAATTGAAGGATTGTAAGCAGCAATGGGAAGTTTGCCTTGGTTGTAGTTTGGAGCATAGCTTGGAGAGCCTAGCCTGGAAACAGTTGCGACACTCCGGGTGAGAGAGGAGGGTTTGCCTTAGGCCACAGCAGTGGGATGGGAAGGGAGGTAATGACAGCCAGGGACATTTAGCAATTACGATTGTGAGCTCTTGAAGAGTGATTGGAGGTGGCCAGTGAGAGAGAGGGTGGTGCCTGGGGTGACTGTGGGTGGTGGTCTTCTCATAGGAAGCAGATGAAAACTAGGTTAGAGGCAGAAATAAGTCCAGCTTCGGACAAGGTGGGTTTAGGTGCCTGTGGGACATTCAAGAGGAGAAGAGCGCAAGACAGCTAGCTGGGTGCGTGGTCTGGAGCTCCGCAGAGACGTCTGGGTGGAGTCTGATATTCTGAATCAAGGGCAGGGATTATTAACTCCAGTTTACAGACGAAGCTCAGAGAGTTTAAGCTACTTGTCCACAGTACACAGCCATGGAGCAAGGACTTGAACTCAGATACATGGATTTCAAGTTCTGTGGTGCCTGTGACCCCCAAGTTCAGTGCTAATTCATCTGTCCCAGGATGCATCAGCTTCTGTAAGGGCAGGGGGTAGGGGGCTGGTGAGGAGGAAGCAGGTGTCTGAATATGTTTTTGTTTGCTCCCCATGTGTCATCTGCCTGAAATTGCATTTGCCCAGAACTTGCAGCAGGGGCATTTCTAGCTGGCTTGGAGATACTGGAGATGGAGGGAGATTCTTGTTTCTTAGTAACCACAAGTCCTCAGCTAACTCTGGCTGCACATCAGCAAGTTGGTGATTGTGAACGTGAAGGTTTTAAGAACCACAAAGTCAGCTGAAATCAGGCCCAGAGAGGCCGGCCTTGCTACCACAGCCACCTCAGGGACTCAGGAAGTGAGGTGCTGAGGACCCCTCCTACCTGATACCCTTGATCTCCTTCCCTGACTAGCCACGGTCCATCTCTGCAGTGCATTTTGTCCCAGAGTGAGCTGAGGCCTCAGGTCCTAGGATTCCCCTGTTCTAAAATAAAATGAGCTGGGCCAGGCACAGTGGCTCACACCTGTAATCCTAGCACTCTGGGAGGCCGAGGCGGGAGGATCGCTTGAGGTCAGGAGTTCAAAACCAGCCGGAGCAAGAGTGAGACCCCGTCTCTACTAAAAAATAAAAAGACATTAGCTGGACAACTAAAAATATATAGAAAAAAAAATTAGCCGGACATAGTGACGCGTGCCTGTAGTCCCAGTTACTCTGGAGGCTGAGGCAGGAGGATAACTTGAGCCCAGGAGTTTGAGGTTGCTGTGAGCTAGGCTGATGCCATGGCACTCTATCCTGAGTAACAGAGCAAGACTCTGTCTCAAAAAGAAAAAAAAATTAAATAAAATAAAATGGGGGCCGGGCGCAGTGGCTCACGCCTGTAATCCTAGCACTCTGGGAGGCCAAAGCGGGCGGATTGTTTGAGCACAGGAGTTCAAGACCAGCCTGGGCAAGAGCGAGACCCCGTCTCTACCAAAAATAGAAAGAAATTAATTGGACAACTAAAAATATATAGAAAAAATTAGCTGGGCATGGTGGCGCATGCCTGTAGTCCCAGCTACTTGGGAAGGCTGAGGCAGGAGGATGGCTTGAGCCCAGGAGTTTGAGGTTGCTGTGAGCTAGGCTGACGCCACGGCACTCACTCTAGCCAGGGCAACAAAGTGAGACTCTGTCTCAAAAATAAAATAAAATAAAATAAAATAAAATAAAATAAAATAAAATAAAGTGAGCTGAGCTGGGGCCACCATGGGGCAGGTGTCCCAGTCCTGTATGCTAGAGAAAAGTCTTAGCTCCAATAGTCACTTCCTCTGACAAGCGTGCCTTGTCTCCCTTCTGAATCGGTCCTTCCCAGCTGCTGTCTCTCAGAGGGGGTGTATGTGTGTGTGTGTGTTTGTGTGTTTGTCTCCCTCTCTAGACCATAACCTCCATAAAGATCCGGACTGGGTCTGTTTTGTGTCCTTGGAGTGTTTCCTGGCTCATATTTGTCAAACGAATGAATAAATAAATAAATGCCCCCTAAGATCTAGGCTCTGGGCATCACAGTGGAGAAGGCTCTTCTTGTCTGTTTACAGCATGTTCTCTCAGCTTGCAGAATGTCACTTTCAATTCTGCAATTGGTGGAGGGTAGGGGGGCAGGATGCCCTACGAGGTTCCTTCCCCCTGTGCCAGGAAACAGATGGTAAAATGCTTAAGACAATGCTGCTTCCCCCAGTGCCCTCTGTGCCCCAACCCCCAGCCCTGGCCCCAGATGGGCTCTGGCAGTCAATTCTCTATGCTCCTAACTCTGGGCACCAAGCTGGATGGCATAAGCATCTGATTATAGTGAGCTGTTCTCCCTCTTCTCTCCACAAACTTCCCAGCCTTCCTCCATCCTCTTAAGCTTGTGCTCACATTCCTTTATTCATACTCTGAGCGCCATTTCTCAGGCTGTCTGCACCAGTCCAATAGCAGCACATTCCTACTGTGTGCCAGGCACTGGACCAGGCAGGGGTGGGGAGCATACGGCAGTGAACAACATATGAACCCGGCCCTCTAGGACTCACAGTTGATGGAAACAGACTCGCCAGTCTAATCCCAGGGTAGGGAGAAGACCCATGTGACTGGAGAATGAAGCCAGGGCTTGGGGAGTAGGTGGCTTTTATGGCAAGGCAGCTAAAGGGTCTCAGGCATTCTCCTTTCTGAGGAGGTGAAAGGCGCTGGAGCGGAGGAAATGCAGAAGCAAAGGCGCAGCCAGGAAGAGCTGGGCACGTGTGGGCAAGGACCATGGATGCAGAACCTGGGAGATACATCTACGAAGGCAGGTGGGGCTGTTCATGGAGGCTCTTGAATGTCAGGTTAGGAGACTGATTTGAATCCAGTGGGCAGTAGGGAACCATTGAAAGTTTATGAGCTGGGGAGTGATGGAGCCAGAGCTGTGCTGAGGGAAGGTTAATAGGGCCGTGAGGACGATGCCCTGGAAAAGGGAAGGGCAGGGAGACTGGTTAAAGGGCCGGTACCTGGGTGGAGGGCGCAATAACCGGGCTGTAGGAGGGTAGTGCAGTGCGGTGGAAGGAGCTGGCTCCCGCTGTGTGGACTAGAGTCTCCTTCTAGCTACCTCCTCAGCCTGAGGTTGATTGGCCTTTCCCACTTCTCTTTTTGTTTTCTGGTTTTTCCCAGTTTAAGCAAAGAAGGAAATTCACAAACAACAACAAGAAGCTCCCCCTTCCTGTCCCTTCTCCGGCCTGGCCTCCTGGGTCTCCCACGGCCCATGTTCTCTGCTGGGTCTCAGTGTCTGGAACGCCTATTTAGGGTCTCTGGCTGAGGCGGGGGTCTCTCTTCTTGCTCCACCCTTGTCTTCAGATGCAGTAGGTTTGTCAGCGAATGGTAGAAGGAGCATTAATTTATCCCTAGAAGTTGCCTAGCAACAAGGGACCTGCAAAAGGAGGGGAGATCCTGCCCTCCCCCAGAGGAAATCACTTTGAGTGGGCCCACAAGACCCATACCAGTGAAACAACTAGAGATCTGTTGAAGGTTGGAATATTCTCCCAGCTCAGAGAGGATCAGTCAGTCCTGTCTGTCCCACACAGCTGGTAGGTGCAGGAAGTGGGTCGCCTGGTGTTTCGCTTCAGTCTAGAGCCCTAGACATGGCAGTCGGAGGAGAGGGAGCTGGGATCTGCTTTTGGGCACTGTGTTTGGTCTTCCTTGATTTGCGGTCGCGGAGCAGTCCACGGGGCCAGGGGAGAACTCTGGAGAGAATTCTGGAGAACTCTGGAGTTTTCACAGGGCCAGGGGAAGGATGTGATGTCTGGGACCCCACTTTCCTTGAGCCTCCAGGGTCCGGGACAGTCAGGCAGCTCATCGTCACGGTGCTGTCCATAACGCCCGCGAGGGGCCAGCGTCCCAGGGGATTCCCAGGTCCCGCTGGAGACGCCTGGGGCTTCCCCTACCTTGTAGACGAGGCCTGCCCGGCCTCCCCGGGGGGCGGGGCTCCGAGCCCCCGGGCGAACTCTGGCTCCTGAGGCCGCTGAGTTGAGTCCTGCACCTGCCCTGCCCGGGACGTGCCATGGGACAGCTGATTGCCAAGTTGATGGGCGTCTTTGGGAACCAGGGTAAGGAGCACACAAGGCATCCAGGAGCCTGCTTTGATTCTACTCTCTCCTGGGGCTCCCCTGATTTGGGGTCGGACGCGCTGGGGGACCCCTGACTCGGGGAGTCCTGCGTGGGAGCTCCTCTCCTGCGCCGCGGTCTCCGCTACCCCAGCCTCCCGCCTGCTCCTCCTGGGTCCTCGCTCTTCGGGCGAGCCTCCCTCCTCCCCTCTAAACCGCGCCGGCGGCGGGGGTGAGGGGGCCCCCGCGGGTTTCCTGCGATTGTGACTTCGCGCTCCGCTCTTTCCCCAGACGCCTTCTCTTGGCAAGCCCAGAGCGCCGCGGACCTTTCAGACAACCAATTTTCTAGAAACGTGAAGGGAGGTGGGATCAGGTGGAGGCCCAGCTCTCTTTTCCACTGTCCGAGAGTGGCGCAGGTGTCCGGGACGGGTGGGAAGCAGATGTGGTACCGCGGCGGCCAGACGTCCCCCAGCCCGCAGGGAAGCGCTTATCTCCCTCCTGGGAGGCCTGCTGGGGCGCACAGTCCCCTGGTCATCGACCAAGTTTGGCCCTGACTCTGCCTTTCTCCGGATGCCTCCAGAGCACAAAGTTATCATCGTGGGACTGGACAATGCAGGAAAGACCACCATTCTCTACCAGCTGTAAGTGACCCTCGGTGGGGACAGGAGAGGCCTGGGCCTCCCACCAGACTAACAGGCATTTGGACCAATCACTGGAGCTCTTCCCTGGGTTCCCAAGCTCCCCTGTAGCCGGGAGGAGTGAGGGGGGAACGCTGGCGTGACCTTCCTGCTGTAGTGGCCCCTCCTGGCATTTGAATCCTGCACGGTATGGACAACCCCATCTCCCACTGCCTCTTGCGTCTACCCTGTGCCCCTGCCAAACCGGTTACAGGCTGACAGGTGCCTCTGGTTTCTAGCCTCGCTGCTCCGCGCTCGCCCTAGAGCAGGTCCCTCTGTTGTGGGGCCTGAGCCGGGCACACGCGGGTGGTGCTGAGTAAATACCCATTGAGCTTTCCCCATATTCATTCTCTGATGGCATCTCCCCTGTTTTGGAGCCTCCAAAATACTTTATTTACTTAGGACAAGGTTTTCCCTGAAAAAGTAGTATACGTCAATGGTTTTCAAAGACTAAAAAAGAAAAATTGCAACAACAGAAGAATATACAGTGAAAAGTAAGTTTCCCTCTCACCCCTAACTTCCAGTTCTTCTCCTGTTGTAACTTCTTGGTAACCTTTCAGAAGCATTATTTATATATAGAAACGTGCGTGTGTTTTCTCTGTCACTTTACGCAAAGCACCTCTCTGATGTCCCTCACTGCATCTGTCTCATCTTTCTAACCCCTTGCTACTCAAAGAGTGGTCCATGGACCAGCAGCCTGAACATGATCTGGGAAGAGCCTGTTAGAAATGCAGAGCCCTAGGCCCCGGCCCAGATGCACTGGGGCAGACTCCCAGGTGATTCGATTCTATATTGAAGTTCGAGGAGACTGTGCTAAGAAGTCTCCCCTCTTTGGGGTCTAAGCCAGGGCCGGGCTTGGTCTCACCTCCGCCTTCATTCCCCCTGTGCCTGCGCACCGCACCACCTGGCCCCCAGCAGATGCTCGGTCAGCCTGCCTTGGGAGTGGAGGGGTGGGCGGCCAGAGTTGGGAGTGGGCTGGGCTGAGCTCTCGGTGCCCTCTCCTACCTCCCCAGCCTGACGAATGAGGTGGTCCATACATGTCCCACCATGGGTAGCAACGTGGAGGAGATCGTTCTTCAGAAGACCCACTTCCTCATGTGGGACATAGGGGGACAGGAGGCTCTGCGCTCCACCTGGAACACGTATTACTCCAACACCGAGGTGAAGAGGGCACCAGGACTAGAGGGTCCCCCAGGCAGCTGTGTGATATTAGCCCATCACTTAACCTCTCTGAGTCTTGGTTTCCCCGCCTGTGAAATAGAGCTCTTATTAATGATCTCCTTGAGTTCTGAAAATTAAATAATAATAAAACAATAGCTAACGTATATGTGTTGAATATTAACACATTGCAGTGCCTGTTGAAATTTTTGAGTACTTCCTGGCAGCCTGGTTTGCTTGCTGGCAGCTTTCTGTTTGATGCACTGGATGGGGTGGGCTTTTGTCTCTGGGGGCCTTACTTTCTTACTCCAGCAGGAGTAGAATTCAGTGGCTTAATTCCTGGAATGAGACAGAGCTGGGTTCGAGTTCCAGCACTGCCACTCGCCCTCTCTGTAGCCAAGAGCAAGATAGGTAACCTCACCGAGCCTCAGTCTCCTCGTTTATAAAATGGGCACAGTAATGGCACCAATTCCACAGAGTTGTGGTGAGGCCTAATGGCACACACACAGCCTCTGGCACACACACAGGGGTACTGTGTACTTCCCGTGTCCGGGTAGGAAAGACAATTAAAATGGCACCAGGGTGGTACGATCTTGACACTGCACAGTTTCTTTCCTTTGGGGCTGGCATCCAGCCAGTGCAGAGGCTACGGGGGGAGCACAGTGGGCAGGAAACACGTTCACCAAAGAGAAAGCCACCACTCACGGCTCCTCTCTGCTGCCAGTTCGTCATCCTTGTGATTGACAGCACGGACCGGGACCGGCTGCTGACCACACGAGAGGAGCTGTACAAGATGCTGGCCCATGAGGTAAGCCCCTGCCACTGGGAGAGGGCCCAGTGGTACTAACTGTGTGCCCGCAGCCTAATCACTGAGCCTCTCTGAGCTTCATTCCTGATGCCCCAGTCTCTGAGAGCCTCTATCCCAGCAGCACGGGGAGGGCTAGTTTACCCCCAAAGAAGGGTGTCAGTGCCCTCAGCAGAACTGATCACAGAAGCCAGAGTTACTGGTTCAAGTCCTCACCCCATCTCTCATTCCTTGTGAGACCCTGGACAAGTCACTTCACCTCTCTAATCCTCAGTTTCCCCAGGTATAAAATGGGGATATTCATCGATTCCTGCCTCACGGGATTGTTGCAAGGATGAATCAGCTGGTTGGGAGGCATCCCATGAGCTGTTGGTGCCATTTCATGGGGTTGCTACCGTTGAGCGGGCCCCGTCTCTACCCTGTCTAGGCATGGGCTTCTCTTGCTGGGACACTGCGGAGGGAGCCAGAGAGAACTCATGGGGCAGTGACAAGGGAAGCAGGGCCTGGCGGGCTCACTGGGGCTGGGCTCCTCTGTCCACAGGCTCTGCGAGATGCTTCAGTGCTGATCTTTGCCAACAAGCAGGACATGAAGGACTCCATGAGCACCATGGAGATCTCCCAATTCCTTACTCTCAGCGCCATCAAAGACCACCCGTGGCATATACAAGGCTGCTGTGCCCTCACCGGGGAAGGGTAAGTGGCTGCCCCATCTGGACCTCCAGGGCTTGGTCCAACCAATGGATGGCTGGCCATCAGTACCCTTCTCCTGCCTCCCTCCTGTCAGAACCTGGCTCGCAGTTGGCTCCTGGGCCAAGTCAACTGAGCACCTTCCCACAGTTGAGACACCGTGGGTAAGCGGTGAGTGAGACAGTGTCCCTGCTCTCAAGGGGCTCATTCTAGTGGCAAAAGAGTGTCTGCATCTAGACACAATAATTTTAGGTACTGAGAAGTGGTATGAAGAAAGTGAAATTGGATTACAGTGATAGAGGGGGCAGGGCTAACAGAGACAGCCTCTCCCAGTAGGTGGCTTTCGAGCTGAGACCTGCATGAAGAAGAGATAGCCATGGGGTGGCAAGGACACTGCCAGAAATATGTGGTCCCTTGGGCTGACTTGCCAAAATTCTCCCCTTCTTCAAAAAGGCATCTGGGTGGCCAGCCTGCCACTATTCCACTTGAGAGGGAAGAGGAAAGGGAATTTTCCAGGCCTGATGCAAGACCCTTTCTATGTGGCCCAGCTCCTTCACATCTTTCAGGCGTTTGCTCAGCAGCCCCTCCCCTCAACCCACAGTCAGTTCAATTCAGCCAGCATTTCCTATGTACCCTCCATGTGCCACGCACTGTGTCAGGCAAGGGCAAGGGGTGATACGGATGACCAAAACTCCACCCTTGCTCTGGAGTTGCTTGTAGTCTAATGGGGGGGCCTTGCTTAGGGAGCCTCTTCCCAGGGCTTTGAAGTCGCCCTGGCACCACCCTGAATGATAGAGCAGGTGGGAGGGGGTACCACGGCCTTACCCAGACACTGCTAAGGGACCCAGGACCGTGGGTCTGCAGGTTCCTTCCTCAGGGAAGCCCTCCCTGAGTCTCAGACATCCAGAGGCCTCTGTACATAACCTTTATCACAGTATGTAGTTACAGAATTATTTGTCTGACCATACGTTTAATACCCATCTCTTCTGCTAGACTGTCAGCCACAGAGGGTGTGTCTACTTTTTCCCCAGTAACCTCAGCCCCTAGCACGGTACACGATGCATAGCAGGCGCTGGTGTCCGTTTGTCTTTGTTGACTGAATGATTGGATGTAACTTTGGTACCCACCCCTCCATCTGCTCCGGGCAGGGGCGGGGGGCTTGAAGGTCATCGTCCTTTTGGGATACACTGATCTTTCCTGTTCCTCCCTCCCTGCAGGCTGCCTGCCGGACTCCAGTGGATGCAGTCTCGGGCCACTGCTAACTGACATCCCAGCCTGAGACCAACCAGAAACTCTGGGGGTTTTGCATCGTCAACGTGGGTGGGAAACCCAAGTGGCTATTTATTACTTTTCTGTGATTCTCTGGTGGGGCAGGGACAGCTATGGACAGCGATATTGCCACTGCCTGCCCAGCCCCTCGCTGAGGAGCAAGACTGCATACCTTGAATCGTTGCAGACAGGACAGCAGAAAAAGCTGTCCCCCACTCCATGGCTGCTGCACGTGTCCTTCTTGGAGACACCAGGGAAGGTGTTGGATGTATTGGAGCCCTCTTCCTCTGCTCAGCGCCCAGCCTCTCTGTTGGAAAAATGTGTGTGTGAGGGCACAGAAAGAGACCCTGGAACTGCTCTTTATTTCCTCGCTGCCCCCCACCCCAGCTTTCTGGCTCTCCAGCCATTTTTGTCCCATACCCTTTGGGCAAGGGAGATCCCAGGAGAGTGAAGGGGGTGGGCTTAGGGGGAGGAGGGCAGAATGAAACCCTGGAAGGGGAGAGGGAGGAGGAGGACAGGACATCCCAGACAGGGACCTCTATTGCACTGCAGGGATTCCACTCCTCTCTCGCCTTCCCATGCCCTCTGAGATGTTGAGTTTGACCACAGCTTTTGGACTTTAACCCACTCCATGGTACCCCCTCAGTGTCCTGCCAATGTGAATCCCATTTCTCCCAAATATCCCAGAATCTTATAGGGTCTGCTTATTTTGTTTATCTTTGTGTAATGATTTTTAAAAAATATTGTATTAGAATTTTTATAAAGGTGTAATAAATGCCATTGAAAACTGCTCACCTGTAATTTCCACCTGCCCCTTCTGCCTGTTCCTCGAGCTGGCTTTTGGGTTTTTTTGCAAAGAAATGGGGTGGGAGGCTGCCTCCAGGGCCCATCTGGCCAGGGGACTGGCTTCTTGGCTCTGGGGTGTACCACCGTCTCTCAAGTTGGAGGTCACTGGTACCTGGCCAGCCAGGACTGGGAGCTCTTGGCTCTGCCTGGGCCTAGGGGAGGGAGAGGTTTGATACTGACTCGTGGAGAAGCAGAGGAGGGACCCTGGGGGTTGGAAAGCCCAGGAGTCCTATCTAGATAGAGCTGGAGACAGGGTGGAGACTCAGGCTGCCCATCAGTGTACAGGGAGCGGTGCTGTTATCCTGAAAGACCTGGGATGGTCCTGGGGACAGTGGGTCTCTTCCTTTCTCAAGCCAGGCAACGGACATCTGGGGGAAAGTTTGGGCGCTGGATTCCTTAATCTTGTAGTTTTCCTGAAGTGGGACTGTGGAGGAAGAACTCAGGGATTTTAGCTATCCCCACTGTGTTTTGTGTTCTTTCCATTAGGTTATCTCGACACAGGCTGCAGATCAAAAAAATAAAGCGGATAGTACCACGCCCTTATTCTGCCTAAATTTATTCTAATGAGACTCCAAAGGCGTGAAGGGGGTATAGCTCAGTGGTAGAGCATTTGACTGCAGATCAAGAGGTCCCCGGTTCAAATCCGGGTGCCCCCTCTCCACTCAAGACTTTTTGGCAGTCCCCAAGTCCACTTCTTAGGAGTTCCTCCTGCAAACGGAAGGGGATGGATCCTCGGGTCCGGCCACCCTCTCTGTTTTGCAGGCGGGTGAGGATGGAGTCCTGGACCCTGCTAGTGGCTCATCCTGTGTGTACGTCCAAGGGTGGAATACAGTGCGAGTGAGGACGAGGAGCTCCGGATTGGCCCTTGAAGGACGGTACAAAGGGCCCTCCCTTGTAACAGTAGGGCGAAGGCAGGCGCATCCCCAGGTCGAGCTGGCCAGTGACCCCGACGGCTCTTCCACGGTGGAGCGAGGCTGAGTTTCTAAGGGCGCTGGGGAAGAAAGGCCTGGAGAAGCCGCATGAGCATCTGAGAGGGAGAAAGAGGCGCCGAGAAGCAGGAAGGGGCCTCCAGCAGGGCAGGAGACTGGGACCCCAGCCCAGATGAAGGCCCCCATGTGAGGGATCTCGAAGGCTCTCGAAACGTTCCCTTCCACACCCCCAGATTATATTTTTCTTGCACCATCAGTAGGAATCTTTAGTTCAGAGCTTCAGGAAGCAACTTCTGCTTCCAAGTGCGTAAATCTTCTGAGATTTATGTAATTCCTATCTCTTGTAGATGTTCAACCTCACTTCTCACTTCTTTTCAACAGTTCGCCACGGCGCCTGCGCAGCAGTGGCAATAAGAAGCTATCTTCGCGCGGTCGCCGGCAGAGGGGGTATAGCTCAGTGGTAGAGCATTTGACTGCAGATCAAGAGGTCCCCGGTTCAAATCCGGGTGCCCCCTGCCTTGGTGCTTTTTTTTCACGATCCTTTAAATATTAAAGCCCTTTGTAAAACGTTACGATTCACTTTAAAGCTAAACTGCTTTTTTTTCCTCCCACTTTTACGTTAACACTTCTTTCGCCATCTTTCTTCGCAGACGAAGAGCGGTGAGGAAGTGCAAGGAACTGGGGAATTCTAGACCAGTGGCTCTCAAAATGCGGTCCCGGGACCAGCAGCATCTTCTGGGTACATGTTAGAAATGCAGTTCCTCGAACTACATCCCAGACCCAGTGCGTTAGAAATTCGGGGGTGGAGTCCAGAAATCTGTTTTAATAAGCCTTGCAGGTGGTTCTAATGCACGCTCAAGTTCTAGAGGCTTACATAATAAAAAATTTGCACGTCATTTGCTTCTACTGTTTCTGAGTTTTTGTTTCAGCCTGAGCCCTTGTAGGAGACTTTATAAGGCAGACCACGGGCTACCCCAAATGGGGAAATGTACTAAGACACCGAGGCCGGAGCTGGAATTCCGGAAGGTAGGAGGTCGGGGACAGCCTGGGCCGACCGGGAAAAGTGAGGGAAACCGCAAAACACCAGCGTTGCGGCTCGTCACGTGGCCACTTGAGGGCAGCAAGAAGCCGCAGCTGGAAGCCGCAGCCTATCTGAGCCTGTTGAGTTAGCCAAGTTGGGATTTAAATTAGACATCAAGAAGAACTTACAGACAGGCCCTGCTTTGTCCCATAGTAAGAGGATAGAGGGTTTAGGGTTGGAGGAAGTCGACTCTGGGACCCTGGGTTCTGAGGAAGGAAGAACTGGCATTCTAAGAGATTAGAGCCTTTAGTCGCTTCCTTTCTTACGGCTTCTTTCTGACCTCAGTGCCAGGGAACCCGTCTCTTCCAGCCCACACAGTACCTTCTCCTGTCCCCACCCATCCCCACCCATATCCCTCCTTGGAATACCCCCAAGCGTTCTCAGCGTCCACACTCTTCCTCTCGGCGATTTTCCAGTCCTCAGGCCCCAGCCCCTAGAAGCCAGGGTACCCCCTCGCCCCCTCTCCCACCCTCCAGCGCCCCAGCTCCTTGCGGTCACATGAAGTAGGTCAAGGAAGGGAAGAGGCACCTCGGTGTCCTGACCTGATTCCCTGCCGTCTATTAAATCTCCTAAATTGTGGATATTTTTATTCTGTCCTGGAAGAAAAAAAGATGATCTGTCCCCAGAGCCTGTCGTAAGATGTGGCAGGTGGGGTGAGCGGTTTCCCTGCTCTGGAGCTGGCTTTGAAGATTGACCGGGTCCTGCCCTGAGCAGGCCTGGAGTCCCCCGGGGGGAGAATGGCCTCTGCTACCTTCTTGTGGGGAGGGGGTCCAGGCTATTGCAGAGTAGGGGCGAGCCAGGTCCCCTCCATTCCCACGTCTGCTCGTGCTGGCCACGGGGGTGCAGGGATCCAGTGCGGAGCAGCCACGGGAGGGGGTGGAATTGACGCCTCAGTTGGGGCGAGAAGCTGGGGGTCTTTGCTGCAAGCGTAGATTCCTGGGGGTGGGGTGGGGTGGGGTGGGGGCAAAGCATCAGAAGCGCACAGAACTCAGAAGAAAAGCTCAGAAAGTCGCAGAGCCCGGAGGAGCTGCAGGGAGGGGGTGGGAATGGCAGGAGTCCATGGCCCGGAGAGGGGGCGCCTGTCCCTCCCCGGTCCGGAGGAGGGGCAGGGGGTGGCTGATGCTCTCCAGGCGCTGTCCCAGCCCGAGGGTCCCGCTCCCGGTCCCCCCCCTCCGCCCTCGTGCCTGGGGAGCGCCCCGGAGAGCCGCGGGAAGGCCGGGGGTGGGGGGGGCCCGCGGCGCCGCGCCCCCGCCCCGCCCCCCGGCCCCCGCTCCCGCTCCCCGCAGCCGCCCGCCCGCGCTCCAGCCGCTCCGCCCGCCCGCCCGGCCCGCGCTCCGCCGCCTGCTCGCCGCCCACCCCTCCGGGACCCGGGACCGCGCCGCGGGAGCCGCGCCCCTCCCTCGCCAGGCCGGGGCAGCGAGCGGCCGGGGACGGGTCCTGGCACCCACCATGCGGGGCGAGCTCTGGCTCCTTGTGCTGGTGCTCAGGGAGGCTGCCCGGGCGCTGGGCCCCCAGCCCGGAGCAGGTAGGACTGGCCGGAGTTGGCCTGCGGGGCCGGGTGCGGGCACGGGCAGGTGCGGACAGGCGGGCGCTGTCGGTGAGGCGGTTACTGTGCGCGGGAGGCCAGGAGCTCCGTGGGCTGTGGGCAGGCGGGTGGGGACCCCGCTTTCCCAGACGCGTAGGGTGTAGAGGGAGGGCGGTGGCATTAGACGCCGATGTGCGCACCTCTCCTTCCCTCCTGCAAGGCCAGTGGAGGAACCCCGGGAGAGGGGGCTCTATGAGGCAGAGGGCTCTGGCCCCAAAGGGGACGGTGGGAGAGTCATAGGGTCCGTGGTCACCCCAGGCAAAGCTGGATTCTGATGAGATGGGGAGCCTGGCGGGGCTGCTGCCCCAGCTATACCTTCTTTTTCCCTGCACCCCGCCCCCCCCCAGCTAACCCAGACTGGTTCTGAGTAGAATTTGGGGGCTGGGTGGGAGCAGCTAGGGGGCATCTCTCCCTGGCAAGGGCAGTAGCCATCTAACTCGCCTTCCCCTACCTATTTGGTACCGGTAGAGAGGCAGTGGGCCCAGAAAGAAGCACTTTGCTCTTCCTCTGTACCCCAGCCTCAAGGGTACCCCTGTCGCTCCTGCTCTGTTCTGTTGACCTTTGGCCTTCAGCTGCTCTGGCTCTAGATGGGTGGCGGGGTCCCATCCTGCACATTTCTCTTGCCCCTATACCAGTTCTCCAAAATCATCTCTTCCACTTGGAAGTCCTTTCTGAGAGCTACCTGGAATCCCTGATGTTATAAAAAAAGACCATTTTTGACACATAATCTAAGTTCTCCTCTCTCCTTATGCACCCAGACTTTCTCTGGGGTTGGGGAGATAGGTAATTTGCAGCCAAGCCCCTTGACAGAGATAATTAGGAAGACAGAGATCTATGCCTCACTGGCACAGGTGCCCCTCACATGGGACGGGGGGTGTCAAGGAGGATGCTGTCGTTGAGCTGCTGTGTCTCAGAGGTGTGCTGGACATCAGGCACAGCATCAGTGACAGTGTTCTTGACTGTAATGGTCACTGCATGCAGCTGAGGCAGGCCTGCTGAGAAGGAGGGTAGGGGGTGGCGCTGGGAGGGAAGGGTGCCGATGGTGGAGGTGTGGGCAGAGAGCAGCAGGAGCTGATGTGTCAAGAGGTCGCTGGTGCAGAACCACCAGTTTTCAGGGAGACCACACAGAGGATGGCCAGAGACTTGGCTTCTAAGTCCCGACATCTCGCTTGCTGTGTGACTTTGGGCAAGTTACTTTCCCTCTCTGGGCCTGTTTCTGCACTTATATAGTGAGACTGTTGGCAAAATCTTTGACTCTTGGTTGTGGGATTATGAGGGATTTTTTTTTTCTCTTTTATGATTGTCTTTCGTTTTCAGATTATTACGGTATGTATGGGTAACTGATAATTTTGAAAAATCAACGTAAACAGGAAGGAGTTGGACAGGTTAATTTCTCAGGTCCTTTGCAGCCCCAACCTGGTGTGATCTTCTGAACTTGGGGTGTAACTGGGTTGATGGGGGAGGGATCTGAACCTCTGACTGGGTTGGAGAACCATGGAGAGGGTCAGGGAAGGGGAATTGGGGGGTAACAAGGATGGGCTGGAGGATGGTGGCCAGACCTAGGCCTGGCTGAGAGCTGCCTCTTCTGAGTCGGGTTGGGTTAGACGGTTGGGGAGGCCAGGATGAGGGGGGCAGGCAGAGGCTTGAATCACTTCTCTAAGTAGAGGGCACCCTGTCTCCTTGGCTTTGACAGAGATTCAGTCAGGAGAAATGGACTTCCTCAGCAGCAGGAGACATTGAGGTTAGATTTAAGGAAGCCGTGAGAAGCCAGAGGGGGCAGCTGTTGACTCCCAGTCCATTGCTCTTTTCACAGGCCAGGCTGGATTTGAGGGAGAGTCTGTGTGCAGGCAGGGGGCGTCTCCTGGGGGGAACAGTTGTAGGAGTGGGACATTCTGGGGGAGGGTTGCTAAGGGGGGACAGCCCGGCTTTGACTGATGGTGGAGCCCTTGGGACCAGCGAAAGGGCAGCCAGGAGCAGGACCTGAAGGGGTGCTGGCATCTAGACCAAGGCTCTGGGGTGTCTGGGCTGGAGGGGGGCCGGGAAGAAGCTGAGCTCTCTCCTCCTCGTGATGGATGGGCTGGTTTGGTGGAGCCTCGAAACCTCATCCATCATCAGAACGGGAGCAGCAGGGAGATGGGTGCCCTGAAAATAGAGCCAGGCGGTGGGGAAACCAGGCTGACAGACAGCAGCATGGCCTCGGGGTGCACAGCGGGGGCACCCGAAGGTCTGGCCCAGGCGGAATCAGAGGCGCCTACAACCAACAGAAGGAGGAGGCAGCGGGAGGCGACGTCCTGTCCTGAGAGAGGCCATGTCCTGTACCAGCCCTGGTGCCCTCAACAACTTGCTCCTTTTTCCGAGCCTTGGTTTCCCCTTCTATGAAACGGGGGGCGGGTGGACCAGATTGTCTTTAGGGCCCCTTCTAGCCGTGATTCTGCTTCCAGCTTCCTTCTCGCCCACCAGGGACTTCTGACAAACTGAGGCTAAAATTCAAACTTCTCGCGGTGGCCATCAGACAGCCCCTGCCACCACCCTGCACGTCTTCTCTCACTGTCCCCAGGTCCGCCCCTTAACCCACTCTAGGCTGCCGTCCCCTCGGAGCGACAGGTAACTGGCTTCTTCTCATCCAGGTCTCAAGCGGCTCAAGGGTCAGCTTCTCAGAGAGGCCCACCCTGATGGCTCTGTCCAGAGTAGCAGCGACCCCCGGCCCTGCTGCCTGTCTGATTTTCTTCCTAGCGCTCACCGCTGTCTCACATTGCCCTACCTGCCGCATTCTTCACTTCGTGTGGGTCTCTGTGAAGAAGACTAGACTCTTCCTGGGCACAGGGATTGTGTCAGCCTGTTTGACTCCCCGGCACCCAGCACAGTGTCTGGCACACAGTAGGGTCGCAGTAAATGTGTAGTGAACGAGGGAGTGAGCGAGCAAATCAGAGGTGGTCACAGACCCCAGAGTCTCCCTGCAACGGAGACCCCCAGAGCACTGGGCTCTTCTTCCCCCTCCTTCCCCCTCTGCCTTCCTCTTCCCTTCCCTCTTCTGCTACCTAGTGGTCCTCTCTGCCACTTCCTTGTGCCTCCCTCCCCCTCCCCAGGTAAGGGTCCTCAGTGGGTCCCTGCCTGCCAGAGAGAGGGGGAGAGGGTACAGTTTCGGGCTTTGTAACTAGGAGGCAGGATTTCAGCTTAGGGTCTGGAAACTTTCCCGGGCCCCTGGAGAGTCAGTCCTCCTGTGAGACCCAGGGAGGGCAGGAGGACTTTTCTGGGCGCTTCATGTACGTTGTTTTGTTATAGATTCAAAACCATTTACCGGGCCAGGCAAGGTGGCTCACGTCTGTAATCCTAGCACTCTGGGAGGCCAAAGCGGAAGAATTGCTTGAGCTCAGGAGTTCGACACCAGCCTGAGCAAGAGCGAGACCTCGTCTCTACTAAAAATAGAAAGGAATTAATCGGACAACTAAAAATATATAGAAAAAATTAGCCGGGCCTGGTGGCGCATGCCTGTAGTCCCAGCTACTCGGGAGGCTGAGGCAGGAGGATCTCTTGAGCCCAGGAGTTTGAGGTTGCTGTGAGCTAGGCTGACCCCACGGCACTCTAGCCCGGGAATAGGGGGAGCCTCTTTCCAAAAAAAAAAAAAAAAAAAAAAATCTACCAAGTGTAGGTTTTAACATCCCCATTTTACAGATGAGGAAACCGAGGCTTAGAGAGATTACGGAATTTGTCCAGTGTCATAGTCAGTAAGTGGTAGATTCGGGGTTCAACCTCGAGCTTGTCTGATTCCAAACCTGTGCTCTTCTGTTGCTGTGATATCACAATAAATGTTTCCAGCCCTGTGTATCTTAGGTCCTCAGGGCATTTATTTAAAGATGCTTGCCTCCCTCTCCTCCCTTCTCCTCCCCTCTCCTCTCCTCCTCTCCCCTCCCCTCCCCTCCCCTCCATCACCCATGTGTGCTTACTGAGTGTTTGCTCTGTCAGGTGACAACCTGCTGGGATCTGAGCTGGGATGGTGCATCTAGCCTTTGGGGTGAGAGAGAGAGGTGTCAGAGGGGGCTCTGGGAAGAAGTGGCATTTGTGAGATTTGAAGGATGAGCAAGAACTCATCAGGAGAAATGTTTATTTATGGAGCAGAATGGTCCTGGCTGAGAAATCTGCCGTGTGCGAAGCCGCATGGCTAGAGACAGCAGGGCTGGGTCTGGAGAGGACTATAAGGAGAACGGAGGCTGGAGGAGTGAGCAGGGACCCAGCCATGAAGGGCCTTGAATCAGCTGGAAGGAAGTGGTGAGCGGGAAGCATGAGAGAGAATCAAGTTTGTCCTCCAGATGGCTTGTTCTAGCTAGAGTGTGGGCGACTAGCTCTAGGGCATTAAAGGGAGAGGCTGCAATAACTGCCAGGAGAGAGGCCCTGGTGGCCTGGACTGTGTGCTGGCCGTAGGGCTGGAATGGCAAGCGTGGGTCTTGGGATAAGGGTGGTTTGGCCCAGGCTCTGGGGTGGTACAACCTTGCCTCCCAAGCCTGGAGCAGGGCAGTGCCAGGTGAGGGGTCACCGTCTCACAGGGCGGCTCCCAGGATCAGGCCCAATTATGTCTACAGCAGGGTCCTTCAGGAACCCAGCCCACAAGCCAGTCATGCCCTGGGGCTGCTCTTGAACCTTGGGAAACAGCTGGGGGTTGTTGGTCACTTCTGTGGTTCTGAGCAGACTCTGGAGCCAGCTGGCCTGGGTTCAAATCCTGCCACGGACTAGTTTTGTGAGCCTAGAAGCTTCTTTAATGTCTTTGTGCCTCATTTTCCTCATTTGTAAAATAGATCTAAAACTAGTACCTATCTTACAGGATTATTGTGGTGATTAAATGAATTAATGCGTTTAAAGCTCTTGAATGGTGCCGGCACAGAGTCGCATCCTTGAAAGTTAGCTGTCATTTTTATTACTATGACATCCCACTAGACTGCATGCTACTTGGGGCCATGAATGAATGAATATATGAATGACAAACACATGAATGAACAGCTTGTATTGTTCTGGAAGCTTTTGTTTTTTTTTCTTAGGCAGACAGAGTCTTGCTCCGTTGCCTGGGCTAGAGTGCTGTGTCATGAACCTAGCTCACAGCAACCTCAAACTCCTGGGCTCAAGCGATCCTCCTGCCTCAGCCTCCTGAGTAGCTGGGACTATAGGTAACACGACACCATGCCCAGCTAATTTTTTTATTTGTAGTAGAGACGGGGTCTCCCTCTCTCTCAGGCGGGTCTCAAACTCCTGACCTCAAGTGATCCTCTTGTCTCGGCCTCCAGGAGTGCTAGGATTACAGGCGTGAGCCACCCTGGGAGCTTCTTGCCAACACACGCGGGTGGGCTCTGTCACGTGCATAGCCATGGAACGGGTGTGGGAAGATGAAGTTCTCCAACGGAAGGCGGAAGGTGGGACAAGGCGTGACCGAGGGTCGGGCGGGTGGGTGGGTAACGCGAGTGAGCATGCAGGGGAGCCCAAGGCTTTCCGGCAAGCCTCCGCGGGTGTGCGCACAAGCACGTGGGCCCCTACACAGGCACGTGAGCAACCAGCTGTGCTGGCTCCTTTCCTGGGTTGAGGGGTGATGTCCTGTCCCAGCCAGCTGGGAGGGGGCAGGGTGGCGGGAGACAGCTGTGGATGGGTTGGGAGGGTTAGATTCAGGGCTAGGCCAGGGTAGGGCAGGGTTCCTCGACAGCCTCCCTCTCTACCCTGCACGCTGCCCTCTTTCATGGGCTCTGCCTCTGCCTCTGCCTCTGGCCCCCTATTTATAAAGCCTCATTCGTGTCTGTCACTTGCTCCTCACGGCAGCCTGCGCCGCAGGCACGATTGCCGTCCCCATTTAGCAGTGAGGATGCGAGGCTTAGAGAGCTAAACGGATGGGAATGATGTCCCACAGCTTGTGGGCGCCAGGGCTGGGTGGAGAGGGAAGCCCAGGCGTCTCCCCTCTGTGTGCCCGCAGCTGGGCTCCCCTCCCCGCCTCAGGGCCCCACCGTCCGACCCCGTCCTCCTCAGTTCCAGGCTCACGAAGCCCGTAGAGCCTCACCGTCCCTCTGGGCCCAGCCGAGCTGCTCCCCTTGTTCAGTGCACGCTCCTTTCCTGTGCTGGCTCCTGCCCAGGCCCCGGGGCTGCTTGCAGAAGACCCAGGGAGCTGGGCAGGGCAGCCCAGCACAAACAGTTCTGTCTCCTGAGGAGCTGTGGGCCCCACCCGAGAGGGGCAGGACAGCCCTGGCCTGGGCCTGGGCCATGGGCAGGCTGCCACCTCGGCACTGACTCGTGTCCATCTGTGGGCAGCCAGTGGGCATCTTGGGGAAGGGGTCCGGGGACTGCCCTGCTGCCGTGCTCTCCGGAGCATCTGGTTGTGATTAGGGGCAGAGAAGTGAGGGGGGCCGGCAAGGGTCCAGTAGGCACCAGCAGCCAAGAATGACTTAATTGGATAAAATATCTAATGACAAACCAGAGCCCCACAGCAGAGTCCTGGCCTCGGCCCCAGGCCGGGTCCTGGCCAAGCCTTGCCTCAACCTCCCTCCTTGCTGACTCCTCAGAGTTACCCTCAACATTGTGTCCTCAATTATGCAGTGATTGAGTACCTGCTGTTTGCTAGGCACTGTAACTTTGAAGACGGTGGAGAGAGTCCTGGGGGAACTTGAGTTTCCCAGGGAGACGGGCACATAGTTACACCAGTGGGTGCTCTGGGAAAGAAAGCGACATGCAGGAGCTCTGGGGAGTGGGGTGGGGAGCAGAGGTCGAAAAGGGCATTTGACACAGAGTGGGCCTTAAATTGATGAAGGTCACAAGTGGGGAATATCAGATCCAGCCATCTGATGGTCTGTGTCCCATAGACACATCCATAGTAGGTATGACAAATGGAACGACAATACAAGGCACGGCCTTGGGGGCACAAATCTCTCTGAAATGGAAAAATGTGGTTTTGTGTCATTTAGAATTAACAACACAGGGAGAACTGGAGAGAACATGGAGCCTAGGAACAGCTGCTAAATGGCCTGTGTGTGGCCACTTTCCAATCCTACACCCGTGGCAGACATTGCTAATTGATCTCAACAGTCTTTCTTGCTGAACACAAATGGAGCTTCAGAATTCTTCTCAATTAGAGTGCTACTGGCTGTCACTTCGATTGGAGATGGCATTTGAGATGAAGCCAATTTGCCATCTTAGACGGTTTCTAGGTAGGGATAGGACTGAAACGGTGGTTCCCCGTGGGGCAGGGGCAGGGTGATTTTTTTCCTCAGGGGATAACTGGCAATGTTTGGAGACATTTCTCATTTCTGGCTGTCACAACCTGGGGGTGGGGAGTGCTGGAGGGAGAGGTGCTATTGGCATCTAGTGGGTAGAGGCCAAGGATGCTGCTAAACATCTTACAATGCACCGGACAGGCCCCCTGTCCCCGAGAAAGAATTATCCAGTCCAACCAACAACCCAATTTAAAAATGCACAAAAGACTTAAACAGACATTTCTCCAAAGAAGATATACAAACGGCTAATAAGCACCTGAAAAGATGCTCGACATCACTAATCTTAGGGAAATGTCAATCAAAATTGTAATTAGGCCGGGCGCAGTGGCTCACACCTGGAATTCTAGCACTTTGGGATGCTGAGGCGGGAGGATCGCTTGAGCCCAGGAATTTGAGGTTGCAGTGAGCTATGATGACGCCACTGCACTCCAGCCTGAGCAACAAAGCGAGACTTCGTCTAAAATAAAAAACAAAACCAAACAAAAACTGTAGTGAGATACTATCTCATACCGATTAGGATGGCTACTATTAAAAAAAAAACAGAAAATAAACAAGCATTGGTGAGAACGTGGAAAGATTAGGATCCTTGTGCAATGTTGGTGACAATGTAAATAGTACAGCCATTTCGTATGGAAAACAATATGATGGTTCCTGAAAAAATCAAAAATAGAATTACCACGCGATCCAGCAATTCCACTTCTGGGTATACACCCAAAAGAATGGAAAGCAGAGTCTCAAAGTGATATTTGTACATCCACGTTCATATCAGCATTGTTCACAATAGCTAAAATCTGGAAGCAGCCTAATGAATGGGTTAGCAAAATGTAATATACACATACAGGGAATATCATTTGACCTTAAAAAAGAAGTAAGTTCTGCCATATGCTACAACATGGATGAACCGTGAGTTCATTATGCTAAGTGAAATAAGGCAGTCATAAAAAGACAAATACAGTATGATTCCACTTCTACGAGATACAATAGTCAAAATCATGGAGACAGAAAATAGAATGGTGGTTGCCACAGGTGAGGGGCGGGGGGAATGGAAATTTGTTGTTTCAGGGGTATAGAGTTTCAGTTTTACAAGGTGGAAAGAGTTATGGAGACGGATGTTGGTAATGGTTGCACAATATTAGCAATGTATTTAATACTATTCAACTGAACACTTAGAAATGGTTAAGGTGGTAAATGTTATGTGTATTTTAACACAACAAATAAAAAAATTGGGAAAAAAAAGAATTATCCAGTCCAAAATATCAGTAGTACCAAGGGTGAAAAGCCCTAAACTAAAAGAAGCTTTCTGGCTTCTGGCCCCCTGATCCCCTGGAAGATGGGATTATGTGCCATTTCTGGCAGAGAAATAAGGAACTGGATTGGAAGGTTCCAGAGCAGTGGTTTTCATCCTTGTCTGCAGAGTTCTTTAAGTCCAGGGACTTCTCAAAATCCCCTCTGAGGATCTTTTAAGAAACCTAATGCCCAGGCCACACCATAGAACAATTATATCAGATCTCTGGATTGGGATCCAAACACCAGGAATTTTTAAAGCTCCCTAGGTGATTCCAGTGTGCAGCTGAGGTTGCGAATAATCACCGCTTTGGAAGCAGATCAACTTGGGTTTGAAACTTACCTCCATCCCTAACCTGCTGTGTGACCTTTAACCTCAGAGCCTCTGATTCCAGTCTGCAAAATAGAGAGCATCATATCTACTGTGGACAGCCGGTGTGAGGGTTAAAAGCATATGTGCAAAGTGCTTGGCATGGAGCTGGGCATGTGGCTCTCAGTACATGTTGGGTGTCTCCTGTCCTGGTAATCAGGTGTCCCCAAGGTCAATGATAGCGTGGTGTCGGGGCATCTGCAGAGTAAGTGGGCTGGTTGCCCCCTCCTGGATCTTCACTCTGGACTCCTAAAACTCAGTCTTCTGTCCCCTTCTCCCAGGTCCTGATGAAGGCCCAGGCTCTGGATGGGCTGCCAAGAGGACCACAAAGAGCTGGAATCGGAGAGCCCGAGAGAGCCCTGGGCAGGTGTCGGAGCCGGACAGGACCCAGCTGAGCCAGGACCTGGGAGGGGGCACCCTGGCCATCGACACACTGCCAGATAACGGGACCAGGGTGGTGGTAAGTGCTGGAGGACTGTGGAGGGGGAATGAGGTGAGGGTGGGGGTGTCTCACCAGGTGCCCCATGTGTACTCGTCACACATGCAAATCACATATCCTTTGGGGTTGGCCTTGCCAGGTCAGAGTGAAGGGAAGGATCCCAGGAGAGGGGATGAAGCAGGGTCATAAAATCACAGCATCTCAGAGCTTCATAGGCTGCCTACCTCCTCCTGGACCCAGAGAGGTGAAGTGACTTGCTCTAGGATGCACAGCTTGGTCACAGGGCTCCTGACACTGGACTGTGCCACAACCAAGGAAAGAAAAAGCTGATGGTGGCATTATCAGTCACATCCCAGCTGCTAGCTTGGGGCCCTCCCCGACCCCATTTCTGCCCCATCTGCATACTGTGGTGCCCAAAAAGGCTAATGGCTGTAGAGGCACAGGCTGCTCAGCCTAAGGACAGGGGACTTTGCTGGGGGCTGAGTCGAGAAATCAATTAGGGTGCAGCTCAGGAAAGAACCTTCTCTGCCTGGTGCAGTTCTAGGGGGTAGTGCGGGGAGGAGGGACTGAAGGCCAGGAGGAAGTGCCCCCCTCGTAGACTCTCTGGGAAGCTCGTGGAGGCCTCTGTGTGTTGTGAGTGAATCTGTAATCGTGTGTTTCTGGGCATGTATGTGCATGTTGTCACAGAATTAAACTTGGATCCGCTCGCCCAGTGCAGCAAAGCCAAACACTGACACCGAGATTTGCAGCAAGAAAAAGAAAGGCATTTATTGCAGGGTGCCAAGCAAGGAACTCATGCGACTAATGCCAAAGACTCAAACTCCCAGTGGCTTACAAGCAAGGGTTATTAAAGGCAGGGGTACATTTCAGGAAAGCAAGAGTTATAGGCAAAATCATAAATCAATACATGGAGGTTATATTATACATTGGTTTGGCCCAAAAAGGCAGGCAGGGTATCTTGAAGCAGGGGCTTACTGGTTATAGGTGGCTTCAGAGATTCTTTGAGTAGCATTGGTTAAGGAAGCAAGGCCTTGTCTAAAAACGTGGGGTCAGCAGAAAGGTGTGTTGAGGTTTGGCCTGTGGGCATGGCTCTCTCCAGGCCTCCCAGGAAGAAATTTAGAACAAAGAATGGTGGTCAGAGTTCAATGCTCAGTTCCCCCCTTGTCTGAGGCCTGTATGATGGTGGATGGTATTTTCTATCTGGTGGGAGTCCGTCCGGGTTTCTGAAAGGCAACTGAAGAACATATGTTAAGACGCGATCGTCTAGTTTCTATAGGTAACCACAACACCTTGTGACCCCGGCTTGCTCTGCGACTGTTGTTTTAAGTTATTACCGTCTTGCTTATCATGGAGCTCATTTACTTTTTATGGCTAGCTAGGTGCCTGGAATTTCCCTTGAAGGGACTTAAGATTTATCCTTTATCTTCATGCTTGGTGGCACCAGCGGGCCCCTAAAAGGGGTCCCTGGTCCTTCTCAGCATCAGCAAGGGTGTGTTTGCACGTGTGGCTGAGGGTTTTTGTGTATTATGCACGTGTTCCTGTGTGTCTGTCACCGTGGGCTGTTTGTGAGTATCTGCGGTGAGTATGTGTGCGTGTGCACATGGCTGTGTGTGCGCGTGCACATGCGTGTGCAGGCGCCCATGGCTGGGAGTGAGGAGGATGGATTCTTGGGACACAGAGAAACTATGAAATGAGAAGAGGCAACAAGAGGGCGTGCTTCTCAGTATATATTTCTTTATTTTGTGTTTTCTTAAATCAAATGTGTACATGCAGATCATCCAAAAGGCCGAATAGTGCGACAATTGTAAAACAAAACACGGCGGGCCCGCCTCTCCCCTGCCAGGGTGACCACCCTCCCCTTCCTCAGAAGGTGCTGCCTGGGCTGTTGCTTCTGGCGTTTGAGACCCTATTTCCAAGTAACCTGCTTGTCTGTGCTGCTACCTCTTGATTAATCGGTTTTAGACGTTCTCTGTTGACCGCCTGTTGTGGTTCAGGGAGATTTAGCTCTTGCACCCTTCTGGGGAGCGTCGTCTCACTCCCTCTCTCAGTCTTTCTGTCCAATCCGATGCTGTTTTATATCCTGACTGCCCTGTGAATATTGTTCGCTACTAACCCAAGCAGGGTAGCCTCGTTGTTTCTTTTCTTGTGTGATTTTTGTTTTTCCTGGATCCTTGCCCCCTCCCGCCCTTGCTTGGTTTTTGGTGTTACCACGGCTACATTTCCTTACACGTCCATTGGCCTCAAATGTCATTTTCAGCGTGGTCGAAGCCTGTTGTTTCTTTCCCCCCCTGGGTTCCTCTCTCCCACCTGCCCCACGGCCACCATCCCGGGGCCCCCTTTGTCCCTCTCCTGTGTTGGCTCTCCTGTCCTCTCGGTCCCGTGTCTTCTCTTTCCCGCTTCACCCCCCGTTTGCTTAGCTTCCTGAGAAAGCTTGCTCAGGAGGGAAAATGCTTTCAAGGACTCGCGTGTCTGACAATGCCTTTATTCCGTCCTCTTGTTTGACTGGTGATTTGGCTGAATATAGAATTCTAGATTAAAAATAATTTTCCTTCAGAAGTTTGAAGGCATCTCACCATTGTCTTGTGACTTATGATGTCATTGTTAAGAGGTTTGGTTTCATTCTTATTCCTGATCTTAGCATATACCTGTTTCCTCCCAACTTCTGGAAGCTTTCAGGATGTTCCTTGTAACCCTGATGTTCGAAAATTGCAGTGACATGTCCTACTCTGGCTCTTCTCTTTCACCATGTTGGACACTGGGGAACTGTTCTAATCTAGAGATTTTTTTTTTTTTTTTGAGACGGGGTCTCATTCTGTCACCCCGGCTAGAGTGCAGTGGAACGATCATAGCTCACGGCAACCTCAAACTCCTGGGCTCAAGTGATCCTCCTGCCTCAGCCTCCCGAATAGCTGGGACTACAGGCACGCGCCACCACACCCAGCTAATTTTTTGTAGAGATGGAAACTTGCTATTTTGCCCAGGCTGGACTTGAACCCTGGGCTCAAGAGATCCTTCCACCTCAGCCTCCCAAAGTGCTAGGATTACAGGCGTGAGCCACCACGCCCGGCCTCAATCCAGAGACTTATCTTCATCAGTTCTGGAAAGTTTTTGTGCTTTATTTCTTTGATATTTTTCTCCCTACTATATTCTCTCTTATCTACAATTCCTCTTGGTTAGATGTCCATTTCTGGAATTTATCCCTGAATTTTCTTCTGACTTCTGTTGTCCATCTCTTTTGCATTTTTTGTCCTTTACTTGCAAGTTTGCTTGTTATTGTTGTTCCACTTTCTGGGAGATTTTCTCAACCTTATTTTCATAATGTTACTAACTGTTTTCTACTATCACATTTTTAATTTCTAAGAGCTCTTTATTATTTTCTGATTATGTCTTTCCTTTTTAAAAAAAGCCTCCTGTTTTTGTGTCGTGGGTGTACTATCTTCCCTCTCTGAAGCTATTGGAACATTTTTGAGACGTTTTTTTCCTGCTATCTGTATCGTTTCGGTTGCTGATTTTTCCTTTTACCTCAAGCTTGGAAATGGCTTGGCACTGTGACTGAGCCTGTCTTGATTTAAAATTTTGATATTATGTTCATCAAAATATTATCTTTTCTTGCATTAATTTTGATTTTTAAAAATATTGCATTAAAATATTCTTTCTCTTGATTCCTGGGTTTTTTGGTGCCACCTGAAATGTTGCCCCTGCGGTAAATGCCTCTTTCACTTCACCCTAGTCCTGGCCCTGAGGTGGAACCTCAGAGGACACGGCCCCGGCCCCTTCCCATTCTGCCCTGTTGTCTGCATCCTGCAGAACCACAAAGCAGCGTGACCAGGGTGGGCGATGGAGTGGAAGGCCAGGGCAGGAGAGGTCCCTGAGTAAGGAGACATCTGGCACTCACCCTCCACCCCACAGCTTTGTTGGGTCATTGGTTGAATAACTGATATTTGCTCTGCTCTGTGCCAGACATGACGGTCAGAAGGATTTTGTCGCAGTCAACACAAAGAGGACCTTTCGGAAAAGAGCCACGGAGATGCAGACTTCTGGAAGCAATTGTCTGTGTGCGTTCAGAAAGAGCAGTGGGGTTCATTAAGAGCCAGTATGGATTCAATAACACCGGAGTTTAAAAAACAACATCACAAATTCTCAGGCTCCACCCTGGACCAACTGGGTCAGAAACATTGAAGATGGAGCCTGGGGATTTGTTTCTTTAAAAGGTCCCCATGTTTTCCTGGCAAAGTCACCAAGAGAATAAAAAAAGAAAGTTCCCTGTGTGATTTGGTGGTCATCTAGGTGTGGGGACTTCTGATCTGTAAGATTTCAAACCAGTTTTATACTTGGTTACCAGATTAATCTCCAGACAGTAAGGCTTTGCCATCGGGGGGCAGGGGGGACTTTCTTGACCGCCTCTGCAGCCACACATCAAGCGTCCACATTAAGGAGCAAAGCCACCCTGGAAGGAGCCCTCTGTCTGCCCCAGGAGTTGTCCCCAGAAGACAGGAGGATCAGACTTCCAGCGAGAGTGCAGATGGCAGATCAGGGACCAGAAGACCTCATGGGGGGCTGGAGTGGTATCTGCCTCAGCACAGGTGAAACTACCGGGACAAATAGAAATCCAGGCACTTCAGTTTAGAATAAGTCTGGAGAGATGTGGTTTGGCAGCAGCTCATGAGGGGAAGACTCGGGGCTCATCATTTCTTGTGGGCTGGGATGAGTCAGGCGCATGAAGGGACTGCCAAGGTTGGCGGTGGGAAAATCGCTGTGTTAATGGGAACCCGGGGACAAGGGCTGGGGCGCTGGGGATCCTCTGGGCTATTTCTTGGTGTGACCACAGCTGAGGGGCTTGTGCCCTCTTTCAGGGGGTTATCTAGAAACCAGAGGAGTGCAGGGGAGGGCGGCTGGGATGGTGAAGAGACTTGCGCTCTCGTGCCAGGAGGGCTGGTAGAAGGTGTTTGGAGTATTTAGCCTGGCACAGAGAAGGTTCTAGATGTGGCCGTTTTCTAAGAGCTGCAGGGCTGTGACTGGGG